GTGGTGGTGGGACCCTCGGCGTTGGTCTTTTTTGGTGCCGGCCTCAGCTGGCTCTTCTAGCATAGCCGGCACACAATGTCGACCTGTCCGCCGCTCGCCGTCCCATTCACCATGATGCAGCAAGGGGCCTGCTCTAAGCTTCTCCCCACGACGCGGACGGAGCTGCCCCGTTGTACTTGGAGATCGCAACGGGCGAAGAACTGCCCACTTGAACCGTTCGTCAGGCTGAACAAGGGTAAGCCACCCTGAGCAGTTGGGAAAACGGATGGCCCCGTGTGGGGTTCTCCCGGTACCCTTTCTGGATGACGCCGTCTATCAGCGGCGAGATGTTTCGGTGGCGCCCTCGTTCGGTCACCTTTCGTGATGTCATTACCTTGTGAAGAAGTTCAATGATGTTTGTAATGAGCATAGTGAAAGCCTGAAATCATAGCGCATTCAAACTAACACTGCCCACACCGTCGAAATTGAAGTTCTTACATTCTTCTTATTTTCGTTGATTTGATATCCTTTGGTGACTTCATAGACAGCATTCGGCCAATTATCGTGGGCCGACCGCAGCGACGCTTTCGATCGCTCACGTCGCCAATAGCTGTCTTTCCAAGAAGCCATTAGGAGCAGAGTGTTGTGCTAAAACCACACACGAACGAACCAGCACTCTGCCGCAGATTGTGGCAGTGGCCATAGCCCGCACGGCAAAATTGCCTGCCGACGGGTTTGTGTACCGTGCGGCTTACTTTGCGCGTCCGCATTCCGGAGCTCGCACCTGGGTCACCAGGAACAGGGGATTACCTGCGTTCTACCAAAACCTCACGTTAATCACTTTCCCATCACGACAGTAATATCCCTTTAAGTCAGCGATGTGAATTTGGCCAGAATCCTCGTTTTTATCTCGCTGAGTAAGCCTAGGAGACGGGTACGACGCTCGTGTCTTTACCTGCGAGTCCTTTTTGCCTCGGAGCAAGCAATGCAACAAAACCACTTGCTGCGTTGCTCAAAGCGTCAGTTTCCATCAGGACTAGGTAACGACGGTGTAAATTATAGTCTATATGTTGCGCCAGCGAGGGGATCAAAAGCCCGCGGCGGAATGGCCACACCATATCCGCACTCCGCAACGGCCGCGTACACCGTGTGCGAATCGATGTAAGCGTCAGCGTCCCGTTCCGTCCAAGTGCATACTAGCTCTAGGGACTCATCGGTCCTTGGAGAGGGCGGCAGCTCAGCGAGCAAGCCCGCTTAAACCGTTCGCGCCTCTAGGGAAGCTGGACAGCTACAAGCTCACCTAAATGTCTACCGCCTCATCACCGGCCAGGTCGCGACGCAGCATAACTTATTAAAAGTATTGCTGTTACTGCCACGACCGGCCAGAGTGAAGTCCAAAAAGCACCCTATAATAGCCTCCGTGGACTTCTAGGTTCGACATCCTTGAAGGGAGAGTAGTTTTGTGCCCTTCGTCGATTTTTGGGATGATGCAAAGCAACAAGCCGTCTTGGCCCAGCAGACACTAATCGTAGTGCTCATTAACTCACCTGCTAGCTTTCTCGGTGTAAACTGCTATCCCTGCATTCTTTTCGACACCCCCTAACAAATACGTCCGCCAGCGTTCCTTGTGTGAACTGCTGTTCCCGCAATTTTTCCGACACCCGCTGAAAAACTCGTCCCCCAGCGTTCCCGGTGTCAGCCGCTCTTCCTGAATTTTTTTTGAACACCCCTTGACAATCTCGTTCGCCAGCCTTTTCGGTGTCAACTTCTATTCCAGCAATTTTTCTGACATCCGCTGACAGAAGCGCATCTGCATCATGGGACTCGACAAGCGCTTAATCGCATCACCCCAAGCCTAAAGTCTAAATCTGTTCTCTCGTCTTAAATTGTAAATCCTAATAAAAAATAAATCCTGACTCTGCCATGAGTTTTGGCTTTTTTACCTCCTGTCAGCCGTTATCCTGCGTTCCAGCGAACGTGCGGTGCCGATCCTCCGCCTCTGAAGACGACTTTCTTACATCTTACCCGCCCTCCTCGTAACCCCCCTGTAGCATCACCTCCTCGCAACCAATATTCCGGGGCGCTCGAGGGAGCGCGTCCGCAACCTCGTATTTCGAGTTCTTTCGGTACTCCACGGAGAAGACACCTGCTGAGCTCGGCTGTGAGATGGGTCGCCAACATTCCAGCAGTCTTTTTCTCGACGGGCGTTGTCAGCGTTAGTGAACAACCCGCTCAACGCATCCGTGAGACTCCTTGGGGACGGCCAGAAACAGAGGCATACCACCAGGCCCCATGTTGGATGCGCCATTTGTGGTATTCTTTATGGTAATCTCGCTTTATAAATATCACCGTCCGATCAGTGTGTGCTTCGCTCGACTCCCAAGGAGTGGCACAACACAACGAGAAGGCACCGAATGCCTTTACTGTACTTCCCGGTTTCCTGTCCTCGAGAGCCGGCAGTTCGGACCCGCCGACCATGGTTATCGCCCGTCGTTCAGAACTCGCCGTCGGAGTCTGTGTCAAGGCCTGCGGATCGCCCTTCCCACGCCAGCGCTGCGTAGGCTAGCTATCCAGGGCTAACACAGCCCGAGTCTTCCTACGGAACCTCTCAGGGATCGTCACGCCCAGGCCGGTATGTCCACGGCTCGTCGTTCCCAACGGTCCTGCTCCAAACCCCGCTGGTAGACCGCTCCGGGCATCGCCATGGGCAAGATCGCCTTCATTGTCCTTGCCCGGCTCCAGCCTCGCGCAGCAGGCTCTGTCTCCTGCGCAAGCTCGAGTCTATTCAGCCAACCGCCCGTCACGTGTCCCCCGCCCTGTCGTCTTCCACAAGGTTAAAAACAAGCACTTTCGCAACGTATCCTATTTATTATGCTCCGTAATCCCGCTCACGCGGCTGCCATATAGCGCTGCGTAGTCTAAACATTTTTTTCTTTTTTCGTAGGAAAGGTTCTGATTTTGTTAAAGCCTGTTACAATCTCAGTAAAGAGTTTCCTGTTTTCCGTACTGCTTTTAAGAGTGACATTCGAAGGGAGCTCCGGGAGGTCAAGGCAAGCCTAGACAACTTTATTAAACGCTTCCAAGAAAGAAAAAAAAATGTTTGAAGCCACTACAAAAAAAAAAAAAAAAAAAATTGAGCAAAGAAAACGTTTATTTTCGAGAGATATGCGAAGTTCTAAAAAGCAAGCCGAGCAGAGTGAACCTATAGAATCACGCTGTACGAGCAGTACTCTCAATATCATAACGTAACGATAAAGAACGTTTCTTCAGCACAAAATGAAAATCCGTCAGCTATCCTGAAAAAAAAATTCGGCGAGTTGACTGAACAACCATGCAATATCGACAGCTGTCCTCAAGTACCAGCGGGCAATTCATCGTCATGCCTGCACACCATCGCCCAATTTCACGTCGGCTGGTTTGTACTACTTCGTCAAAGGGGCAACCGATGTTGAATCCATGCCTTTCCTCTCCATGTCCAAACGGGTCCCATAATGCAATGCGCGCAGGGTTGCATACAGAAAATTTTAGACACACTCGATTATGCGTGTCTAAGTGGCATCAAAAATGTCCTAGGGTGCAAGACGCGTCCTGCTCCTCAGAGGTCATACTAAAGCATGAAAAACACGTGAGCAATAAACCTCCTCGCATCGGGCTACGAGTGCCGTGAAGCGACACGCTTAATGATTTAAATGGTTTGTCCCACCGCTAACACCATTTATGGTACAGGAAAGTGCCCTCGGAAAAATGTGCAGTTCCTCACACCCTGAAAAAAAAGGATGTGATTTCACAGTACATCTTTTTCGAAGGGTAGAATGGCTGCAGTACACCCTTCTACGAGTGTGTACTGCATACAGGAGGGTAGCAAAAAAGTGTAATAGACTACTCCCGTAAAATTGGGCTCATTGATTCCTGTGAACTCGTCAAAATGGTGTGAGGAAAAATGACTGCGAGGAGGTCAAAACATACCAGGTCCAACTTATTTTATTATTTCAATTAGAACGCTCCTTGAGGATACAGCACACACGATATGGAGACACACTTGGGGCACAAGCCCAAAAATGGAAGACTCACACAGTGTCTTTCCAGCATGTCACGACACGTCGTCGTGAGTTTAAATGCTATTATTCACATAAAATACTATTTAGCTATAGGTGTTCGGCCTTTCGTGAAGTCTAAATGAAAGCGTGGCCGCGTAGCTTGACGCTGATTAGTTGATAGGTGGGAGAGGAGAAGTGAGGCTGTCGACGCTGATCAGGTAACGGGGAGGTAGGGGCGGGGGGGGGGGGGTTGTCATACAACCAGAGGGGTAGGCGAGAAGGAGCTCACACATCTGTTCACACTGAGGGAGACGAGCTCAAATGTATGGAAGGCTCTGAATGATCCCCAAGTTTATCTGTCCGATTAGCGGTAGTATCGCTTCATTCTAGGAACAACTCTCAAGTGTACACATGGCACGTGTTAAGCTATCTGTTGAAGAGCGCTTTGATCGAAGGCGTCTTTAGGCTCAGAGTTTCTCTGAATGTTTGCAACACACGAACGTGTCCTGTATCCAACGCGCCTAGCAATTTGTTTGTTCCGTAACGCCTAAGAGGTCAATGACAGAAATAAAAAGGTGGGGTTTCCTTGTGCGATCCGCAGCAGAGTCTAACCCCATTGTCTATCAAGCTACCAGCGCACTGCCGCCGTTTCTTGATTCAGACGTCTGGGAAAGGCTCGGACTTATAAAAAAAACATTGTTTTTCTTCAAAAGTAAACTTCTTGGCAGTAAGATTTAAACAAAATATAAAAGTTGTTTTGAGCATCAAACATTTCAGACACGTTATCAGCTTGATGACGTTTCTGACGTTCGAATATTTTTTTTACGTCATAACTTTATGAAGAGTTTCGGGCGCATATAAACACGAACATATTAGATTTTCGTTCAGAAGACTGACCGTCCACGCTGTCTGTTCAACAGTTTATAAAGGGAAGCACATTTAAGCATAGATAGGACCATTCTTTTCGGCATCCATTAAATCATCATGCTCCTTATCTTCAAGTACGTATTCTTCTCAGGACTGCTCCTGCGTGCCGTCGATTCCGGTAAGTTATATGACAGAAGCATATACCTAGAATGTATATTAGAAGCTATGTGCGAGTTTATACTTGTGCTAACTCTTTCCGGTAGCTTGAACTACCTAATGTCTGGGCTTGGTATTGTTTCTGCGAAAGCTTTAACAATCCCTAAAAATATGCTGTTTGAAGTTAGACTAAACTGTTTGCGGTAGCAAACTGCGAGTCTTGGCAGACATTGAGGATTGCAAAAACATTAAAATTGGCAAAAGGATTAATTAAAAGTTACTAATCCATTTTTTAATTAGTAAAAATATATATATCGTTTCATGAGAAACTTGTTAAAGATTATCGAAAACCGTTAAATCAATTTTTCTTGAAAGATATAAGACCGGGGCAGCATTTTACGGCATTCCGTAGAAGTGCCCGGTTTGGACGTGTTTCTAGCTTTCGGCTCCTTACTGGGGCGCATCATTGCGCCCTCGGTGCTGCTGCTCAGTGGCCGAGACGCGCAACATACGTGCGCCATACTTCTCTCCATCCTACGAGGGAGGCAAGGTGGTGACCTATCGTCGCGAACATCTGGGAGCAGGACCCTTAAATCAAAGATGGGTCGCGATAAGAAACCGAAAATTAAAAACGCGTCCAAACTGAACGTTCCTGTTTTTTTCTTTTTGAACGCCATAAAATGCTGTTTCCGCATAATATTTTTCTAGAAAAAAAAAGTTGATTTAATTGTTTTCGATTATACCTAGTAAGTTTTCCACCGGAACAATATGTTTATTTTCACTTACTCAAAATATTTAGTAAAGTAGTTTATTATTATGCTAATTAGCATGCTTTTGCGACTCTTGATGAACACCAAGGCTGCTAGCCCGTTCCCGCAAAAGAGTCTCTTTTTATTGCGAACATTATATTTTTACATACTTTTGCAAACTTTCGCAGAAGCACCCTGTATATATGAAATGCACAGTCTCTGACGTCTGTTAAGTCAAATGTACGGGGGATCGGTGGCCGAGTGGGCTGAAGCGCACACCCAGCTCGACGCGCGTGGAGCGAAAGCTCGCGCTGCAGAACCCAGGGATCCTGGGTTCGAGCCCCACCCCTGCCCGTTTCGATCTGGATGAGCATCGTACCGGCGTGCGGTCGTGTATCACTAGTGCGTGGTGCACGTTAAAGACCCCAGGCTAGCGGTTGTACTGCACTGGCCAAATTGCTCATCTACAGCGTGTGACTCGTCGCAACTTTAATGGCAGACCAACTACACGCTGTATATATATCCCCACCACCCCAATTATTATTATTTTTAAGTCAAATGTAAACGAAAGCTAGAGAAGACATCTTAATTTATACGTCGTAAGCAGCAGGTTTGAGCAAAGAGCACTTGTGATATAGTCGTTAGTGTTCACCACCTTGGGAAGTACCGAATAATATTGTCGGTAACAAGATGAGAACGATAAGGCGAGTCTTTCGACTGCCCGATCTCCCGCACGCCCTTGTTGCCTTCCGCCGTGCTTGGTGGCCTGTGCACTCTGAAAGCTCGCAAGAAGCCGAAGTGCTATCGCATATAGGAAGCTCGCATAGGAGGCGGAGGAACTGAAGGTCCTCCCTGTCCTTTGACAGGGAGGACCTTGACAAGAGGAGATCTCTCCTTGACCTCTCCTTTGACAGGAGGAGATCCTGTCAACGACTGCAGCAGGCACGTCGAAGCACATTATGATAGAAGAGCGTTGCTTCCTTTCAGTCATCCATCTGCTTCGCAGCCCTTCTCAATCACGGGCAAGTACTACATTTGTAGCAACACAAAACTGATCGGGACCTCTCAAAATTCGCAAACTTTATAAGCATCCGTGTGCACTCGCCATGTCGGGGACGTGCACCCTGCGTTAAGGAAGTGATCAAGGCCACAGCGGACCATCTCATGTAAACGGAGATGGCTTCAACACGAAGGACCGCAAAGTTCTGGCAGTGTGTGTTAGTCAGTAGCCTTCAAAACGGCCAGCCCGTTTTTTTTAAGATACATCTAAAATTACAGAAGGGAACGAATACATTTCACGGAAGCGTATGACGCTGGGCAGTAGTCATGTGGATTACAGTAGAGATCAAATGTTTATTTATAAGGACTTCGCGTGGCATCCTCTTTCATTGACCCCCCCCCTCCCCCAACCCTCCTTAAACAACACACTAAATTTGTACCTGTCGTACTTTCTTGGTATTTCCTGAAATATTATACTCGCATTCATCTTATGTTATAAGAACAAAGTGGAAATGAGCGTTGAAGTACGTGCATACGAGAAATACGACAAAAAAAAAAAGAATTCGGTATGTGTCCTCGGTGTCGCTTTTGGACAACTTGAAATGCCACCGATATTTGATGCAGCAGTAGAATTTGAGAACATGACAGCTTATCTTCCTCCGAAGCTCGCACCGGGAAATGCAGCTATTTTACATCTTATGGAGTCAGGAATGAGAAAACTGTTTACCCGAGTTTCATAAAGGTTTTGCTGCTGACACCAGTCCTAGATTTACCGTGATTGGATGTTTTACTCAAGTCATCAAAAATGTTAAAAAAAACTTAAATAAGCCAGTGTGTTAACCTGTGTTTCGCGCTTAGCTGTGGTAGCACAGCGATCGCCGACAGGCGACCGCTGTGCTACCACTGCGGTGAGGCCGACCACGTCTATCGAAGGTGCCCCTATCGTTAAATGGGCCTACGAGGATTTTGCGCCAAACGACCCTCACCAAAGGTACGGCGAACGCCCTCCTGACATTGAAGATAACCTCCGACGACCCCTGTCCCCGGTGCTGACTCGACCCCGAGGTTCCCGCTCACCTTCGCCACGACGTGCGCTCTCGCCCTTCCGCCGCTCTCGTCGGGACAGCCTGTCCCCCCTATCGCGTCGGGAAAACTAAGTGCGGTAACACCTGGAGGTGGCGTTGCCGAAAACGACCAAAGTAAAGAGCCTCCAGAAACGCTGGAGCGCTCCCACTCCCCCGACGCCACGCATCGCAACGAAGCCACTGCAACGGTGTCCAACAACCTAAATGTTGTTATCGACGGCTACGACGCATCGGCACTCGTGGACACCGGAGCAGACTACTCAGTCATGAGTGGGAGGCTCTCTCGCCGCCTGCGAAAAGTTACGACGCTCTGGGGAGGACCACAAGTTTGAACCGCCGGAGGACACCTTATCACGCCTGTCGGAAGTTGAACTGCTCGCGTCGAAATCCACGGCGAAACGTGCCCTGTGAAATTCGTCGTTCTACAAGCCTGTTCCAGCGATGTCATTCTCGGCATGGACTTTCTGTGCGAATACGGCGCCGTCATCGACCTGGGTCAGAACAGATTGGCGCTGCGGAAGCCTGTTCCGCCTTCAGAGAATCCCAAACAGCGTCACCCGCCGTCCGAGTCGCCGCCGACCACGTGAACCTGCCTCCAAGATCAAGTGTTGTCGTACCTGTCGTGGCCGATACAGCTTCCTGCGGAGAAGTTCTTCTCGAGGGAAGCCTCCAATTGCTCCTGGGAAGAGGAATAGGCGTCGCAAGAGGGGTAGCTGAACTTCAGGATGGGCGGACTGTGGCCCTCGTGACGAACTTCCGAAACGAAACGCAACACCTCACGAAAGGTGCAGCTGTGGGCCACGTCGAGGAACTCCGAAACCCCGCCGAAATCACTGCGATTACTGACGAATCCTCGCCGCCTCAGCCAGAAAGTGCGTTGCCAGCGCAGCTCGACATTGACTCTAAGCTTCCGGGCCCGAAAGGACGGCAGCTGCTTAACCTCGTCGCCGAATACCGCGACTGCTTTGCGACGTCGTCGAAGGTACGCCAAACCGCCGTTGCGAAGCACCGCATCGCTACCGAGGACGACGCACGCCTTGTGCATCGATCGCCGTACCGAGTCTCCGTTAAAGAAAGGGAGGTAATCCAGGAGCAAGTTCAAGAGACGCTGAAAGACGACATAATCCAACCTTCAAATAGTCCGTGGGCCTCGCCAGTCGTGCTGGTTAAGAAGAAGGACGGAGCGCTAAGGTTCTGCGTGGACTACCGGCAGCTGAACGCGGTGACGAAGAAAAACGTCTACCCACTGCCCCGCATCGACGACTCTTGACCGGCTGCGCCACTCTCGATATTTATCATCGATGGACCTGAAGAGCGGCTACTGGCAGATCGAAGTCGACGAGCGGGACCGAGAAAAGACAGCCTTCGTCACGCCGGATGGACTGTACGAGTTCAAAGTGATGCCCTTCGGACTGTGCACGGCACCAGCAACTTTCCAGCGTGTCATGGACACAGTGCTGGCAGGGCTGAAGTGGCAGAGGTGTCTCGTCTACCTCGACGACGTCGTCGTGTTTTCCAGCGACTTCGACGAGCACTTGCGACGACTCCGAGCAGTTCTCCAAGCCATACGGAGCGCCGGACTCGCCCTGAAGTCGTCAAAGTGTCGGTTCGCCTATGACGAACTGAAGTTCCTAGGCCACGTGGTTAGTAACTAAGGCGTCCGCCCAGACCCCGAGAAGACTCGCGCCGTCGCGGCATTCCCAGCGCCGAAAGACAAGAAGGCCGTGCGAAGATTCCTCAGACTTTGTGCCTACCATCGACGCTTCGTTCGGGATTTCGCAAGGATTTCCGCACCGCTCACAAACCTCACGAAGGACGCCGAGAAGTTCGAATGGGCCGAGGATCAGCAGCAGGCATTCGACGAGCTGAAGCGAAGACTCCAGACTCCTCCTGTCCTAGGACACTTTGACCAGGATGCGGAAACCGAGATTCACACGGACGCTAGTAAAGCAAGACTTGGAGTGGTACTGGTTCAAGTGCAAGAAGGCACCGAGCGAGTCATCGCCTACGCGATTCGGACGCTGTCCAAATCGGAGAGAAATTAATCCACGACTGAAAAGGAGTGTCTTGCGGTCGTCTGGGCAATACGAAGTTCCGGCTGTACTTGTACGGGAGCCCGTTCCGCGTAGTCACAGACCACTACTCGCTCTGCTGGCTTGTGAACCTTAAGGACCCTTAAGGACGCCTCGCTCGATGGAGTCTCCGACTACAGGAGTTCAACATGACTGTAGTCTACAAGTTAGGCCGCAAGCACAGCGACGCCGACTACTTGTTCAGGGCCCCTGTCGAAATACCTTCCGGCAGCAGCGACGACGGTGACGACGAGTGCTTCGTAGGAGCAGTGACCAACGACGACCTAGCACGACGTCAACAAAACGATCCTGAGCTGCGCGCATTAATTCAGCACCTGGAAGGGCGCGAGAGTACCGTGCCCCGTGTTTTCTCACAAACCCTGCAAACCTTCGCCATTCGACAAGGTGCACTCTGCGAAGAGAACTTTGGGGACAGTAACTTGCCCTGGCTGCTGGTATTCCCGAGTGGCCTTCGAAAGGAGATCTTCCAAGCCTGCCACGACGATCCGACGTCCGGACACCTTGGTTGCAGCCGGACACTGACCCGTATTCGTAAAAAGTATTACTGGCCCAAGCTCCCCAAGACCGTCCACCTATACACACGATCTTGCCACGAGTGCCAGCGATGCAAGAAACCTCCGACGAGGCCGGCCGGACTCCTGCAGCCCATTTCTCCTCCAAATGCACCCTCCCAGCAGATCGGAATGGATCTACTTGGTCCTTTTCCGCCTTCGACGTCGGGGAACCGCTGGATCATCGTCGCCACAGATTATCACACGCGGTAAGCCGAAACGAAAGCTCTTCCTTCGGGGACTGCTGTGGAAGTTGCAAAGTTTTTCATTGAGTCTATCATCCTCCGGCACGGCGTTCCAAAAGTTCTGATTATAGATCGCGGATCATCGTTCATTTCACAGCTGACCCAAGAAATTTTCCGACTCAGTCACACCAGCCGTCGTCGTACAATTGCGTACCACCCACAGACCAACGGGCTGACGGAGCGACTCAACAAGACAATCGCCGATATAACCTCTATGTACGTCGACGTAGATCACAAGACGTGGGACGAGGTGCTGCCCTACGTCACGTTCGCCTTGTTCATGTCGGAAAGTTTGTACATGGTCGGAAAGTAACGACCATGCTGGACGCGATGCTGCCCCATGAGCCAACTGACAATGAGAGCGACGACGCCCAGGTGGTTGCTCAACGGGCCGAAGAAGCCCGTCAGCTCGCCCGACTCCTGATTCAAAACCAGCAACACGTCGACGCGGGCCGCTACAACCTTCGTCGTCGGGACGTCAACTTCCAGCCCGCAGACAGGGTGGAAGTGTGGACGCCCATCCGCCGCCGCGGCCTCAGTGAGAAACTGCTGAAACGGTAATTTGGACCATACAAGGTACTTCGTCGCCTCGGCGAGCTGAACCACGAGGTGATGCCCGACGGAACACGAACATCGTCACGCCGCCCACCATGACCTGAGGTCGTCCACGTCGTGCGCCTGAAGCCGTACTACGCTCGATAGGACTGTGGACCTTATGTGCTCCAAAGGACTCTTTAGTTTACTGTTATTTTTTTATTTTATTTTGTTTTGTTTTGCATTGCATCGGGGCGATGCACTTTTTAAAGGGGGGAGTAATGCCGCGCGCCAGGTAGGCAGCGCGGCCGGGGCCTAACGGTTATCGCGCTTGCCTCCCACGCGAAGGGCCAGGGTTCGATTCCTGGGAGAGGCGCATCTTTTTGTTTATTCCTGCAGACTAGTATTCTGGTAAATTCGAGAACTGCCTTGGGGGCTGATTCGAGATTAGAATGTTCTAGGCGCCGAACCTGCTACGCCGAATGCTCCAGAAGCCCACGCGTGTCCAAACGCGGCTCCGCGTGGCAAGCCGGGGTCAGTTTCGCCCCAGCGTTCGAGTCTGCTGTCACGCCGACTTCGACGCCCGCGACGCTCTACTTTCTTCTGTTCCTTTTTTTTTATTTTTGGGCAGAAGTTCGCCCCATTAAACGTTCAGTTTCTTCATTTATTATAGCCTCATCACTCGTCATTCGTGACAATATCGTGGCTTCACTTCGCTCCACTGCAACAGGGGAATTTAGGCGCCGTTTGGCACGGCTTGAATGGTAATGCCGGCGGTTCGCTCCGTGGGACAGTTAATGCTTTCGCATCAAAATAAAAAGTGAATATTCAAGATTATTTTAAAGGTATTTATTCTTTGAAAGATCCGAGGGTGAATGTATCAGGTATTTGACAGCCACATATTTAGATTTAAAAGGTGGATTATATTTTCACCCGGTCCTAACGGTAGCATTCAATAAGAATAAAATCGACCTCCACGAACCAGTAACCCATAAAATTATATCAACGCCCCCGTCCCTTTTAGCACGTTCGACAGGGTGCACAAATCTTGTTTTGAAATTGATTACAAGCGCTGAATTATTAACAAGTAACCACGACTATAATAATAACAAGCCAATTATTTTTCATTTCTTATGTGTACAGCCCCTTTTCCTGAGTACGTCGTCTATCCAAGGCTTCTTGAGGCAAGAGGACTGAACGGTGTAACGTTGCTCTACATTCAAGAGGACATAATTCTTCGGCTGGAGAAAAGTTCAATACTTGCAGACAATTTAATATTTCGCGAGACCATTAATGGAAAAACAATGGACACACTTGTGAGTTTCCCTTTTTATAAAACATATTGCATGAATATAAATTAAGCTAAGTGCTAGCATTATTTTTAGGGTAACATCTACATTAGCTCATATGCGTCACAGCTGCGTTACTCATCATCAAGTGCTAGAGTAACCCGCTAAGAATTTTGATGAAGAGAAGTACTTACAACATGTCAACATAGTGTCCGTAAGACTAGTATTTTTAAATGGCGTGTATGGCGGCTTTTGTAATTCCAGCAATTTTTTTTCTTTTCATTCCAGAGCTTAAGTAACACTATCCAACATAAGCTAGTTACTTGTTGCACAAAATAAAGTTTTCTGTAACCGTATTTTGGTGGAGCCCGGTGGAACCTCTTTTTACACCGATGAAAATCTGTGCGTCCTTTGCATACTTTAAATCAGTCCCTAAGCGTGTTTAATAAATAAAGATATTATAATGCTAAAGCCGCAACGCAAACACTCATCAACATGGCTTCGGGTCTAAGATTGATTACCATTGCAGAACGCAAAATGAATTGCAAAAATCTGCCAAGCTTTTTTTTTTGGAATAGAAATTGTTTCCTCCTTTATGATTTTAAGTTACTAATTAGGAAGAACGAACATATAAACAATCTTCTGCAAAGAGGGTTAATTCATAAATACATGATATGGCATAGCCGCCTGCACGACCGAGTCGGAAAAAGTGAAAAAGAACAGCTCATTGGCCTTTCGCAGAATGAAGAGAGTTTGATCAATGCATCTATACTTGTAATTTATCAATTGTTGCTGTTTTCTTTTTTTTTACCTTTCAGTTTTAATATTTACTGCATTTAACCCCCACCTAGAGGCACAAGGTCTGGCCCCTGTTTGTCGAATTCTATTAGTTTCGATGTTTATGTTTTAAAAACATAGTTGAGGAATTTCGAAGCTCATGATGGGCCTTGTCAGTAATGTTGATATCATGGAGTATGCATACAATCAGCCGTACATGGCACCAATGAAGTTCGTCTTTAATAATAATACTAATAATTTATTTGACACAACACAATAAAATTAACGGGCCCACGAAAGCAAAATGTTCGTATCTTGAAACAGAGAGGCACCAAAACACTATAGGTCATTAGGAAATACTGCAAGCAAACTGGATATAAACAAAACAAATCATGTTATAAGAATATGACCGCAGTGAAGTAAGAATTAATCTTGTGGGAACAGACCACATCATTAACCTAATTTTTTAGTAAACAAATCTGGTAATAATTTGAGACATGTAAATATATTTGTACGCCACATGTTTTTGTTGATTTCAAATGTAAAATGGTTTGGCTGTAATTGTTACCTTAGCTCTCGTGTGGGCTTGGCACTTTACGAAGCATTCCTAAATTATTTTGTTTTTCGAAACAATTTGGCATACTTGGCCATTTTATGAACTGAGCTTAACTATTTGTCACTCATTATCCGTGATAATATATGATTTCGCATACCTATTAACTATTGCCCGGGATAGGTTTCATCATACAAACGTTGCAAAAAGAGTAACATTTGGCTGAGGGTGCCCTTCATACGTCCTGCCCACTAAAAAGTGGAACTTGTCATTGAAGTTTTTAAAGCCTTATGTAATGACTCATTTTATAAGCGAAAGGTGCAATATAATGATAATAAGAGCATAATTACAATATTTTATAAAAATTGCAAATTATGGCATCATTCTGCGGTTGACATCTAAAACGCCCCAAGGGTTGTTTTCCTCTCTCCTTTGCGTAATGTTGCAGATAACGTCTGGGTTCTCTGAACTATCAAGGTAGCAACGATCTGAATTAATGCACGATAGGTGCCTATAGCGAGCGAACTCATATATGAAGTCCGAGCAGTAATCCGAGGCTCAAATATCTTGAGTTAAAACATATTATCACGAATGACAAAGGATCAGACGGGAAATAACTAGATAAACTTAACGTTTAATGTGGTGACCCTATGCCAAAACGAAATAAAAATGAACGGCGAATAACAGCTAGGCGTCGATGACGGTGTAACGGCAAGATCGAGCGCAGGCGAAAGGGTGACTCCAGTTCGCCCCGCGGAGCTCTTTCTGTATACACGTACGTGGGCTTCTGCTACAATCGGCGTAGGAGGTTTGGCGCGTAGAACATTCCGACCTAGTATAATCAACGGAATTCTGGAAACTACCAGAGCGCCACAGCTACAGAATTTACAAAAAGGTGTTTCCGTTCCCCGGCATCGAACCTCGGCTCTTTGTGTAGGAGCCAAACACAATGACCATTCGGCCGCAGGCGCGCTGCTCACTCGGCTAGCTCCGCGCGCGGAGTTATCCCCCTTTAAAAAGTGTATCGCCCCAATGCAAGCCACCGTAAAACAGAGCAAACGAAAACTAACGATGTACTGAAGAGTAACCTGGACCACGAAATATCCACAGTCCTACCGAGCGTTGAACGGCTTGAGACGAACGACATGAACCACCTCCGGTCGCGGCCGTCGACGTGAAGAAAGCCGAGTTCCGTCAGGCGCCACTTCGCAGTTCAAGTTCCCTAGCCGGAAGAGAATCTTGTAGCGTACGAAGCAGCGTTTTAACAGTTTCTCGCTTAGGCCGCGGCGACAGATCCGTGTCCACCACCACACCCTGTCTCCGGGCTGAAAGGGGATGTCCCGACGACTGAGATTGTAGCTGCCAGCGTCAACACGTTGCTGGTCTTGGATCCTGAGACGGGCGAGCTAGCGGACTTCAGCTCGGTGAAAAACCGTCTGAGCGGCGTCGCTCCCGTCGGCAGCTGGCTTGTGGGGCAGCATAACGTTGAACATCGTCGTTAGCATGCGACCGTGAATTAGCGTAAGTTCTGTAACCTCATTGGCCCCTTGAACCGCCATGCTGTACGCGTACGTGACATAATCATAACTTCGTCCCACGTCTTGTGTTCCACGTCAACCTACATTGGCACCATGCCGACGATAGTCTTGTATTTGCCGTTCCGTCAGCCCGTAGGTCTGGGTATGGTACGCCGTGGTTCGACGGCGGCTGGTATGGCTGAGACGAAGGATTTCTTGCGTTTTCTGTGCCTTGAATGATGATCATCGGTCGGTAATCAGGATATCGGGGATTCCGTGCCAGAGAACGACATATTCAACGAAAAACTTGTCGAATTCTACGGCAGTTCTCAATGGAAGGGCTTTCGACTCGGCGTGTCGTGTTAGGTAATTGGCTGCAACAGTTACCAACCGGTTGCCTTGCGTCGATGGCAGGAATGGGCCGAGCAAATCCATTTTGATCTGCTGGAATGTGTTGGTCGGCGGCGCAATCGGGAGCGGGAGTCCTGCCGGCTTCGTTGGCGTTTTCTTCTGTCGTTGGCATTCGTGGGAGGACATCGTCGGAACGCTGGGCCACTAATAATTCTCACAAATCCTGGCAAGTGTCCTACTATAGCCAAGATTCCCAGCCGTGGGGTCGTCGTGGCATCCTTGGAAGACTTCTTCGCAAAGGCTGGTGGGAACTACCAATGCTTTGTTCCTGTCGCCGAAGTTTTCTTTGAACAGCACACCGTGTTGAATGGCGAAGGTTGTCCGAACTCATGAGAAGACCCGGGTAACTGTAGTACCTCGTGCCTCTAGGTGTTCGATGAGTGCCCGCAGTTCAGGATCAGCTCGTTGAAGGACTGCCATGTCGCTGACATTTACTGCGCCAAGAAAGCACTCGTAGTCATCGTCTTTGGTGTAGGCAGGTTCGGCTTTGATGAGGGCCCTTGAGAGACAGGCGGCGTCATTGAGCTTCCGGCCGTACTTGTACACCACGGTCATGTCGAACTTCTGCAGGCATAGACTCCACCGAGCCAGGCGTCCTGATGGGTCCTTCAGATTGGTGAGCAAGCAGAGCGAGTGGTGATTAGTGACCACGCGGAATAGACCTCCATGTAAGTCCGGGCAGAACTTCGTTATCGCCCAGACGACAAGGCAGTCTTTTTTTGTCGTTGAGTAGTTTCCTTCCGCCTTATACGAAGTCCGACTTGCGTAAGTGATCACTCGGACTGTGCCCTCCTGCCTTTGTACCAGCACCCCGACAAGTCTGATATTACTTGCGTTGATGTGGATTTTTGTTTCTGGAGACGGGGAGTAAAAATGGCCGATGATCAACGGTGTCTAGTCTCAGCTTGAGCTCGATAAATGCCCGATGTTGTTCGTCTCCCCATTGCAACTTCACAGCGTCCCTTGTGAGATGCGTTAGCGCCGCAGAAAGCTTGGCGAAGTCTCGAACGAAGCGCCTATAGTAAGCGCAGAGACCCAAGAATCTTTGTACGTAGTGCCTCCTTGTCCGACAGCGGAGGAAATGTGGCAACTCCGCGCGTCTTCTCGAGGTCAGGACGAACACCCGTGTTGTTCATGACGTGGCCAAAGAACTTCAGTTCGTCATAGGCGAAACGGGATTTCGTCGTCTTGAAGGTGAGTTCGGCTGTCTTGACTGCCTGGAAGACGGTTCGAAGGCGTATCATGTGCTCGTTGAAATCGCGTGAAAATACTACGACGTCGTCGAGGGAGGCTAGACAACTCTGACAATTCAGACCTGCCAGCACAGTGATCATGACACGCCAAAAGGTAGCTGATGCTGAGCGAAATCCGAAAGGCATCACTTTGAACTCGTACAGTCTGTCAGGCCTGACGAAGTCAGTTTTCCCGCGGTCGCGTTTGTCGACTTCGATCTGCGAGTATTCCACTCACCAGGTCTATCGACGACGAATATCGGCTGTGGCACAGCCTGTCCAATGTGTCGTCGATGCGAAGTGGATAGACGTATTTTTTCGTCACGGCGTTCAGTGGATGATAGTCCAGGCTGAACCATGTGGTTTAATCTTACTTCTAGACAATCTCAAGTGGAGAACCCAAAGGCTTCTCGAAGGCTGAATTATGTCGTTTTTGGGCATATCCTGGTCTTGCTCTTGACCGACCTCTCTCCGCTTTAAGGAGACTCAGTACGGGGATTGAACAGGAAGCGCATCGTCCTTCGTAAGAGTGTGGTGATTTCCTACCGTCGTTTGTCACACCCTTGAGGACGCGGGCGAAGAACTCGCCGAGCTTGTCGAGAAGCTCGAGCAGCTGTAGTCGTTCAAAAGGATGAAGCTTTAAGTCGATGTCATGCTCTGAGGACGGCGTTCTGTGTTGCTGCAATCAAGTCGGGTCAGTGAAGTGATTGCGGCTGAGTCCCGAAGTTCTACAACACAGCCCTTGGAAGTACCTTTTGAGGCTCTTGTTGATTGTTAGTAACGAGGACCGTGGCACGCCCGTCTTGCAGCTTTGATACACCTCTTACGATGCCGATCCCTCTTCCTCGAAGTAACTGAACACCTCCATCGATCGGAACTTCGCCGCAAGTAGCGTCATCAGTCCCGACGGGTAAGAACACATTCGATCGTGACGACAGGTTCACGAGGTTGGTGATTCCTCATACCGCAGATGACGTGGCTTTGGGTTCTTCTGGCAGAGGGACAGGCTTTCGTACCGTCAAATGGTTTCTTCTCAGATCGTTGACCGCGTTGTATTCGCACAATAAATCCATCCCGTGAATAATGTCCCTCGCACAGTCTTGGAGGGCGACGAACTTCACAGGGCAGGTCGCACTATGAATGTCGAATCGTGAGGTGCGCCTTCCGATTGGAGTTGTCAGGTGGCCTCCCGCGGTTTATATTTGCGAACCGTCCTATGGTGTCGTCATTTTCCGAAGGCAGCGAGAGAGCTAATTTTCACTCAAGGCACTAGTCTGCACTATTGTCCACGAGTGCGACTCTTCGTGACCGTCGATAAAAACGCTGAGGTTGTTGGACACCGTTGCAGAATAGTCGCTCCGATGCATGGTGTCGGTCGAGTAAGAGGTCTCCGCCGTTCTTAGAGGCTGTTTACGTCGTCGGTCTACGGCAACCCCGCCTGCAGGGGTTGCCGCGCTTAGTTTTCTTTTCCGGCGAGACATGGGAGACAAGCTTTCTCGGCAGGACCTATAGACAGGTGATGCAGGACGTCGGGGTGAAGGCGAGTGGGAATCTCGTTGAGAAGCGGCAGCTGGAGACGGCGGACGACGAATGTACTCCTCGATTTCTCGAGGACGCTCGCCGTCACGTGGTTGGGAGTCGTTCGCGTGGAACACGCGCAGCCCGAGTCGCCGGTAGAGGCATTGCAAGAAGATATGATCGGCGTCCCCACAGTGAAAGCAGATCGGGCGGTGGTCAGCCGTTTTCCACTCGTCCGTCTTCCTAGGTGCTGGTCGCTCCAGGCGGGCGTATTGAGGGCGACCGTCTGGTCGTCGGAAGTACTGCAGCGATGGAAAATCACTTCGGGGAGGCGTCTTGCAGTGCTGAGCAACGGGAGGCTGCGGACGATGAGCTACGGCGGCGAATGTCAAGGCCGGTTCTTCCTGTGTGGCGTTGACAGGGACTTTAACTGGAGTTCCTGTTGGAGGCTTTCACGGACAGTGTCGAAGATGGAGTGAGATGCCGGACGACCAGCGGCAGGCAGCAGTTTTCGAAGCTCCTCTCGAACGACTTCTCGGGTGATGTCCCGAAAGCTGTCTCCTCCAGCGCTGAGCTCGGGGTGCGGCAGTGCGAGGGTTGAGGCGTCACCCTGTCGGTGGAAGTGAGAGATTGGGGCCGCCAGTGCTTGCTTTATGTCGCTTGCGTGGGTTACAAATCCAGCAACCGTCGTCGGGTGGTTACGGACGAGACCACCGAAGGTGTCGTCCCTTACGCCACGCAAAGACTTGTAGCTTCTCTCCTTCTGTGGCAAAAGGGTCGGCGCGTGAACCTTGGCGCGAACATCTTCCACGAATTTAGTAACGGTGTCATTCGGGCCTTGAGTTCTTGACCGAAATAGATCATCGGCCCTCTCCAGTTCATGTTTACTCGAGAACGTCCGTCGGAGAACCTCTTTGAGCAGTTCCTAGGAGCTGATCGTGGTTTCGTGGTTTTTGTACCAGTGCCCCGCGTTCCCTCCAGGGAAAAAAATCGATGTTCTGAGGGCACTGGGTCGGCGTCCATTCATTGTGGCGAGCCACTCGTTCGTGCTGCTTGATCCTGTCGTCAACGTTTTCGCAAATATCGTCGGGGAATAAAGTAGCTCTCCGAGGGGCAACGGACAGGTAGACGAAGAGGTGGCGGCAGGGGTCTGCGACGATTGGTTACTCATCGTCGGCTTGATCGACTGGTGGGTTTTCTGGCAGTAGACTGAATTTTGGGAGCAAACCTTGAACACGGCGGCTTTTTCGGGGCCTCGGTCGTCTCCAGAGACGGTCATGTTGAGCCGGGGATTGGGCTTGTGCCACATGGCATAGGGAAGAGGGGGGGGGGGGGACGGCCTGCATCTCCACCCCACCTTATATGTCTTGGTACAAAACAAATATTATATAATAATTCAATCTAAAAAGTCAGAAGCTATAGGCGCTTGGCAACGTGTGTAATTTCTTTCATTTTCTTTAACAGATGGACGGAAAGAAGCTTGAAGCAAACATGTATCATGACAGAAATCGAATGGCATCAGTAGTCGTAGAGGACAAAAACGGCACAGTTGAAGTGGTATACACTTTCTTTATCTCCAGATGTGCCACTTGAAGTGAACTAGCAGAAAGATTATACTCCTTATATGACAAACAGAGAGCATGTGCTCTAATCATGAGCCACTCTGTCCCAAACGCGAATAAATTTTACAAATAGATTAATATTAGCGATGTGTGCGACAAAAATTGTATTCGTGTTCGAAGTTCGCGATTGGCCCAACCATCGCCTTTGTATATTGATAATGCTTGCCGAACCGCCAATTTTACGCGCACAAATCCTGCCAGTCACGGCAAGGCAAATCCTGATCGTGGCGTCACGGATGCAAACCATAAGAGGGTGCCATTGAAACTTCTTGGCGCTAATAGAGGCAATTCCTAATATAAAAACTAATTGATAGTACCGATGTCTTCTTAGTAAGTGAGAATGGGCTATATAACAAAATGTTGTAATCAATACATTTGAGCTCAAGATGACCAAAATATTTACTGACATAATATATTCACTAGTGCGGCAAAAAAAAATTAAAAATAGAAAACAGAATATAGGTAAAACGCAAACTTTAAAAAATGTCAAAACATATTTTTTTAAGTCACAGATTTCGGATGTGTGCACGAATTTCAGATCTGTGCAAATGAGAGCAAAACAATATATACTGCACAATAAAAACCTTTTCTTCTAATCTTTCTGTGTATTTTTACGTAAATTTGTGTTGGGCAAACTTGCAACATTTTTCAATACCTTTCTCTAGTATTGAAATCAAACTAATTTCATTGTAAATTGCATTATACTTAACATATTTGTAAAACCTGAATACTTGCGGATCTTGGAAATGTTACCGAGAATCACTGTATTTGCATGCATCTTGTTTTAGTTTTCACTCTTGTATTTTGGCTTTGCCCGCATTAACCGTAATTGAACACCATTGTTACTTTACTAATCTTATTTAAGCTCAGAGAAAGGGCACCACGCTGAAAACTGCTGCTCTTGCTTCCTAGGTGATTAAAATATTTCATCTAAGATACTAGTTTCCTGACGCTCTCTACATTTTTATTTTCTCTATTGAAGTACTTAAGGAAAATAAACATTTATGGATGTGTGTGTTATTTTGTATATGAGACTACAAAATCTATATGTGGTTCACTAAAAGCAACATCTCATACTTCCCAATTCCATTTTCAATAAGCGATATTCATTTAAGGACACTATAGAATGCTGTTCCATGATACGTTTATGTTAATACAACTTATCATGACAATCACGTGTTATGCATTTCGTGTACGTAACGTTTTTGTTAATGGAAATTGATTAAGAATTAAAAAGCCATAATTATAACACTCGAAGGTTTATCAATATAGTGTTATATTTTATTGGCGTCATGAACATTCTGTCACAGAATGGCGTTTGGTTTTCAAAGTTCATTAAAACTTCAATTTGGAAGGTGTTTTCAATTTTTATTTTAGTTAAGCTTTAGTGCTTTGTTACGTATTATTTTCGCGATATCTCAAAGCCTACAATAATGTGTCTTTATAATGATATTATCCACAGACCGTCGATTGAAACACCGAGCATTTGTATTAATAATGTATATTTACTACACTATGTTTATTTAATGCCGTGATGCAGGCGTTGCCTCCTTTGCTATGCAAGAAGCAAGAAGTTGAGAAGAATATCTAAACTTTGATTAATTTCAAATGCTAGCTCAATCTCTTACTTAGATTGAATCCTATTATTTGTTGTGAGTCCACAATACAGATATTTTTGCCATTTATTTCAATCAGACTATTTTGTTTGGCTTTATAAGTTTACCAATAATAAAAAGTTTGATAAATTGACCTCTCACCAGCACTGCCGTTGTCCAGGTGCTCGACAGGGATTAACATAAGTTCCCAGCTTTTTGCTAAAATATCTCAGTGAGTTATGCATTATTGGTAATTCCTAATCGCCTAGATTTTACCACCTAATTTTTTCGATGATAGTTGAAGTTAGGGAACCCTGTTAATAACCTCAACTGTTTTCTATTGAATGCATGATTTTTTTTTTCATTTTTCATCGACTGAGTGTTTAAATGTTTTGTTGCAGAAAGGAATTTTGAACAATGAACTAAGAATTGCACCTCTTAGTATCAAAGCTCGATCAGAGAATTGGCCTATTCCGCATAAAATATTCGAGGTTACGTCCCGTTCCGATGAGGAGAACAATAATAATGGTATAGTATGTTGGGCAAAATTGCTTGCAATCAAAGTGTATTTTGTTAGTGGATTCATAGTGTTTTAAAGATCTGTTATAATCTAGAAAAATGTGTGCATGAGTACGGTAAGTGGAATATTTTCCAGGGACTCAAACCGTAACCGTAACCGAAACCGAAAACCGTTTAGGAACGAAATTTTTTCTGTAACCGTAACCGGAACGAAACCGTTATTTGATATTTATAAAAACCGTAACCGTAACCGGAACCGTAAATTATTCACCGGTAACCGGTTTTAACCAATATTAACCGAAAAATAAACTACCGTATTAGTTTTTCTGAAGTATGACCTGGAGGAGGGATCTTAAATTGTTGTGGCCATTTGACAGAGTTACTCTCTGCGAGTGATGCATCTGGTTACATATTTCCATTCAATCTGACTTTAGGATTAAGAATACTCAGATTGAATTAGTGGTCGAGCTTATAATTTAAAAAATTCTATATTTCTAAATCTGCCACACTCCTACATCGCTACATGTATTCAGTACGTGTCGCTTTCAGTGTATTAACTAATAAGTTCGAATTCTCAGATGTCCATCCAACTCGGTTCTATCAAAACCACCGATGTTCCTGACATGCAGTAGCCAGTATAAAGAAACGAGGTAAATTGGCCATCATGCAGAGCTGGCGGAAAAGAAAACATGGGCCCGTTTGCTCGAAGCGCTAACCGCGGCTAAAGTTAGCAGCAGTACCTAGGAGAGGGAGTTTGAAATCACGTGACTGGGGGCTGGGATGGCGGGAAGCATGGCGGCGCCCCGGTGCGTGAGCGCCGCTCGCTTTGTAACTAATATGTCGTTGTAGCTGCACTATCGGGCGCGTTAGTCAACAACGAATGGTGCAGGAGGCTTTCGCTTTGCCTTACCTCGCTTAAATCGCAAAGCACGAGCAATGACTTCGCGGCATTTGTTGCATAGTCTTTCGATTCTGGCCTTTCTAAGCCTAAATGAACGCGATAAGTGTCGGCATGGCAACGTCTTTGGAAAGCGGATTGCCTTGACTCAATCGACCGGATATTAATAGTACACAAAAGAAGACCAGCGTCCCGCCCCGACAGACCTTTTTCTAAATTACCCAAGCATCGAGAAGAACGCTGGAAGTGTAATTCTATGGTCCGCGCTCGCTGTCCTTCCTCTTATAAAAGATTCGAAGTAAATAATCATTATAAGACTTGGACGAACGCGCGTGCAAGGCAAAATTTGTTTTAGACTTTTTCCTTTAGAACGATAGGCCCGTAGCTCACAAGTTTTGAGCAGCGCTGCAGGCGAGCAAAATAGAATATTTGGCTCGCGTTTCGAACATGCATCAATACGCTTCCCCACTAGAGTTTTTTCTACTCAGTTCCATTCTAAGTTCCAGCGTAGCAGAGGCTACAAGAGCGAGCTGCGAGCTTTCCGCGTCCCTGCCAAGCACGCGCGCTCGTGCAGTGCGAGCATCGTTCAGGATGACGCGCTTTTCCGAGTAGCTTCGGCTTCACTATCACGTAAAGTGAAATATACGTGCTCGCGGAAGCTGTGAAAGAAAGCAAATATGAAAGGAATGTCTAATGGAACGCTGCGGCCGCAAGCAGCATAATTCTGTTCTTTTTTTTTTTTAAACTTTTTTTAGACGTTTTGTTACCGCACATCTACAGATGCTGACAGCGGCTTGTATTCGAACGTGGCACGTGCAAAATCGAACGTTACAGCGCCACACGGATGATGCAGCCAGCAAAACTTGGTCGCGTCTTGCGTAAGTCGTCCGGACGCGCTCGCGCCCCCTGCCCAGAGCAACGGGTATATTACTACTGCATACGCCAGCACGCGCAATGTCTGCAACTACACTCGTAGCATGCACCTCGGTGCTTGGGAAATTTATGTGCTATCAATACAAGGCCGATTGAGTCAAGGCAATCCACTTTCCAAAGACGTTTCCATGCATGCCGACAATTATCGTGTTCATTTAGGCTTAAGAATGGCCAGAATCGAAATACTATCTAAAAAATGCTGCGAGGTCATTGCTCATGCTTTGCGATTTAAGTGAGGTAAGGCAAAGCGAAAGCCTCCTGCACCATTAGTTACTGACTAACGCGCGCGATATTGCAGCTACAACGACATATTAGTTCAGAAGCGAGCGGCGCTCACTTTGCGGGGCACCGCCATGTTTTCCCGCATCCCTACCGATCCCTGTCACATGATCTCAGAATCCCTCTCCTAGGTACTGCGGCTAACTTTAGCCGCGGTTAGCGCTTCGAGCAAACGGGCCCTAAAGCCCCTGTATCCTGGGAAAAGTGGCGCCTTCATTGTTGTGGAAACGCGCGAGACACGTTCAGCGCGCCACTTCTGGAAAGAACATGGCGTCTGAAATCTAGCTCAGTGCTGCGCTGTGCCGCCATGACCTTCCCAAGGGATGCACGTTGCACGTGCCTCGTGCATCGACGCACTTTGCGCTACTTTTGAAACATGAAGGGGCTTTAATGGGCCCTGCTGTTCATTAATAATGTTTATGTTGTTCATTTAGTGTGAAACGTGTCGCGAGTGACGATTTTGAAACAACACAGAAAGAAAAAAAAAAAGTCAGGGGTTTGACATTGGCGTTTTGTATTATATATACAATATATATATATATATATATATATGCTCGGGCTGAGAGTGGTGGAAGGAGCGACGAAACGTCAGAAGGGTGTCCGAGTTTTTTTCTTTTCCTTCCCGCGCCGAGACCCTTCTTCAAACCGAGTGGCACCCGCCGCCTAAAGCCCCTTCATGTTTCAAAAGTAGCGCAATGTTCGTCGATGCACAAGGCACGTGCAACGTGCAGCCCTTGGGAAGATCATGGCGGCACAGCGCAACACTTAGCTATTTCAGACGGCATGAATTTCCCAGAAGTAGCGCGTCGCACGTGCCTCGAACATTTAACAACAATGAACGGCGCCACTTTTCCCAGGATAGAGGGGCTTTACCGTCGCCGGCACTGCCACGCCTCTCAGCTTCTCAACATGACAAAAGAAAAAGCCAAGGAGAAGGATGCCTCCTCGTCAAACGCGCCAACGCGCCACCCTCGTCCAACAGACACGGGATGCAATTTCTGCCTCCTTCGCCTGAACCTTGGGAGCTGCCCTGCTTCCAATCGTCGATGGCCTGGCCAATCTCGCCCCACACGGCCAGCAGTCTCAACAGTCTCTCTCGCAAAACTGTGAACGCGAGCTATTCGAACGTCGGCACGGTGAGCTCGAACATCCACAGACGCGCCGAGAGATCGCTTCCAGCATCGCCGGAGGCCTCCCCCTGCAAACCAGGTATGGCTTCTACGAGAATCATTTCTACCAGAGCCACCAGCGCAATCCAACTACCTCTCATAGAGCCCCCACCACCCATGCCGGAGCGAGGGTCCGTCATGCCTACGACATTCTGAGCGACCTCGCCCAGGACACCATAAGTTTCTCCACGAGAGATGTCCATGAGATCAGGCATCTCCCCCGCCATCGGTTCTACTGGGATGACATGCTCCCCGAACACCAGGACCTCATTTTCGATAGTCTGGAACTCTTCCACGTCGTCGCGAGAGGGAACTGTAGGACGGCAGTCCTATCCCAGACGTCGAGGATTCGAGTCTGAGGTTTTCAGAGAGCTCCCCGACCAGCTACCCAACCAGCCTCGACGCGGACGCCACACGCCTCGTGCTCCCGCGCACACCAGCTACCGCCCAGACACCAAGTCGAAGAGGCCCCCTAATCGTGAGTCCGGCAGCTACGCTGAGTCTTCGAAACCCACCAGTGCCATCATCGACGGCACAGTCGTCTCCTCGACGCTCCTGTGCGTTTTTCCTGTCGTGGACATTCTCGCCCATGCTCTTTGCGAGGCTGGCGTCTCGGCCGACCGTGCCCGAGCTTGATCTTGGATCGAAGAAAACGACCCAATGGATCCCGACTCGACAACCACCGCCACCGAGCGAATCCTGGAGTGGCTCAGCAGGACCGACAGTCATTGAGCCCCACGCCGATGACGGCTCCTTCGACACGTACGATGGCAAGGAGGAAAACCACACCAACACAAAGGAACACACTACAGACAAACAAAGCGTCGTCGAAGACTCTCAGTCGGACCTGGGTAGCACTGCCTACAAGTCAAAAGCGACGGGACCTACACCGCCAGTCCACTCGACCCAGCAGGCACCTGAAGTCGACTGGGCAGTGTTTAGTGAGGCAAGTAGTTTTCACGGGCCGCCCGACTACGGCGGACTTTCCATTCGCTGCACGAAGGCTTCTTGCCTCACGGCCCGCCCAGCCCAGCTCTCAATTTTATTACTTCATTCCACTTAGCAGTATTTTACTAGTGGATGGCTGTAGTTCTGTTCCTTTCTTCAGTGAAGCGAAGACTCGCCTGCAAGTATGAGGTTGAAATCAACTGTAGCGACGAGAAAGTGCGAATGGTTCTTCCAGCATCAAGTGGGAACTTTCTTAGGGTAATTGTTTATAAATGGTGCCAAACAACAAAGTAGCGGTGTTTATTTTAATTTTTATTATATAGAACGCGATGATCCCCGAGTACTAGAAGTAACATGTATGCTCGGGCATCAAACTAAATAATGTAAGTAGATGTAGTGAACAAGAGTTGGAGCTAGGAACGTGTGCAACTTCTGACCAATTAGAAGTATTAAGACGTTTCTAGGTTCCTTGTATTTCACGTTATTGGATATCTGAGACTACTTTAAACGGTTTTTTCTAAAATGGCTGTCTAGCATTTCAATTAGACAAATTATTGGAAAAACTGAAATAAACCGGTTTTTATGAACGTGTAACCGGTAACCGAAACCGTAAAAATTAAAACCGTAAAAAACCGAAACGAAACCGTTATCAATAGGAAGCGGTAACCGTAACCGTAACCGAAACGTTATATTTTTCGGTTTGAGTCCCTGATATTTTCCTATGTTCGAAGTTAAAAGCCGATACCCTGTATACTCATGCTAAACCGAGGTTCAAACACAAGACCACTTGTTCCACAGACCAATGCTTCACGTCTACGTCAGCTAGAAGACTTTCAATGTCCACCATTTAGACTGTATGACCTACTACTAGAGTAACTCTCTAGTACTATCTAGTGGGTGGTGATGTTCTAAGGAAGGGTGATAATTTTTATTTAACATTATCGTTCTTCACTCCTCGGTACTGCTCTTTAACTTTTCTAAAGAAACATACGCGATCGTTTCTTCAACACTATGTTTTATACATTATTTAGCTTTGAAGATTAGCTACAAATTAATGTTTTTTTTTCATATAAGGAGTACACATAATATTTATTTTGTTGATTACTTAAAAAGTTATCATGTTATTATTACTGCTTCTCAATACCGCCTATACTGCTGCTGGATAATATACAAGGTCCGATTGAGAAAAGTAAACCCTACTTTTCGGCCGTGTAAAAAAAAAAAAAAAACTACGCACCGCAGAACGCTCAAACTCCGCCAGAATGTAACCCTAGCGGTCCGAGCAAGAGGCCGAAGTTTCAGAACATGAGCGTACCTGGATCAAAAGATAAAAGAAAAAAAAAAAAAAAAAAACGAGAAATCTCTACGGGGAGGCTCCGATCACGGAGAGACGCAGACGGAGGCCGTCTGCTTTGCGTTGCATCGCATAGGCGGCGCCACCACCTATGCGGGTTGGCGGGTTATCACGGGCATCTGCCGGGCTTGGCGGCAAATTCGGAATTGTTCTGTATCATTTCTGAAGTTTCACTTACGCACTGCTTTTCACTGCAACGGAAATTAAAATTACACGCTCTAATTTGTGATACTTCGGTGCATTTGCTTAGGCATAACATTTCTTCCTGCTAATTATTTTAGCAGATGTCGTCTGCCTTGCTCTTCGCAAACCCGAACACCGGTTCTCCCGTTGATTACTTTTAATCTCTACCGTGTTTCGCTGCATTTTCCTGCCTGATGAGGCTATTAACCCAAAAGCAACGCGCGGACGTCGTGGTTTGGTATTTGAAGAGCAGAAGCTTTAAGGATGCTCGCCGCCGACACCGTCAAGTGCACCGTTCCAGGCCGCCGTCAAAGAGAACCATCTGGAAGTGGGTCCAGCGTTTTGCCGCAGTGGGCAGCGTCGCGAACATGAAGCACGTCTTCGCCAGCACGCCAGACAAAGAGCAGCTCGCGTACGGGATCATGGGTGCTTTCGAAGCGGACGCGCACCTGTCCACGCAGAGAGCGGCGAGTTTGTTTGGGGTTTCAGATTACACTGTGCGCCGGATTCTTCGCCGACATTTCTACAAGGTTCACGTTCTCCACGAGCTGAAGCCTGAAGACTATGAAAGACGGCTCGATTTTTGCCGCAAAGAGACCCTAAGGATCGCGACCAAACCCTCCCATCTGGACTTCCTTCTGTCCTCGGACGAGGCCGTCTTTCACGTCGATGGAAAAGTCAACGCTCAGGACTGCCGGTACTGGAGCAACGGCAACCCGCACTGGACAATGGAGAAGTCTGAGTACTTTCCCAAGGTAACTGTCTGGTGCGGAATCTGGAGGGAGGGTGTTGTTGGGCCTTTTATTTTTCGATGAGTCTGTGACGGGCAGAAGTTATCTGCGCATGTTGAAAGAGAAGATTCTTCCCGAGCTCGAGGCCCTCCACATGCAACGACAAGTTTGCGTATTCATGCCAGATGGAGCGCCCCCCCCCCCCCCCCACACACACACACACACTGGTTGACCTCCGTCAGGAAATGGTTAAGTGACACCTTTCCTGAACGCTGGATGGGAAGAGGCTCGCCCAGCATGCCATGGCCACCGCGCTCCCCTGACCTAACAATCTGGGATTTTTTTTGTATGGGGGTTCATCAAGTCGCGGGTCTACGCCGGCCGAATCTCCACCCTCAACATCCTCAAGCAACGCATTGAGGCTGCGTTTCTGCTCATTACGGACGAAATGAGAGCTGCGGTGGTGGGCGAATACGAGGAGAAACTTGGACGTTGCACCTGGCATCTGGGATGTCAGGTTGAGGCAGAACCGTAGGACTACGGTGTTGCCTTCCAGTGCCTGTTCCTGAGGCACTCGACATACTTTCATCTGGAAGCAAGAATAGCTTACGCCATGTGCGTGGTTTTTTCCCGTTTTTATTTCGTTTACTTCTGACAAATGGCCCTTTTCAGGGCTGTCAATTACGGTTGTCGGCTGCTGAGATTCTGCTGCTCGGCGCTCTCCCGTGTTTCTCTCATCTGGCGTCCCTGGACCATGCAAATGGTGAACCTGGTTCTTTGACGAGGCAGCTTAATTGTCCAGCATTTAATCTAAATAACAGCAAACCAAAACTACTAAATTTCTTTAATAATATTAATAATAATAAATTCGAACATGTTCGAGACTCGACATAATGAGTAAACCGGGTCACAAAGTCGCTGACTTGACATCTTCTGCCTCTCCCTTTTTTAATTTTCATTGCCATCAAAAAAATAAAATAAAAAATAAAAATATATTGGCCCAGCTTAAGTTCATCTGCAGCCGAAAGGAGGCTCCTCTGACGGCAGAGCCCAAATAATGTAACTTAAAGAAAAATAATTTGGTTATAAACGGTTTATTGGCAGTGAGCAGACTTGGCCACTAGAGGACGCTAACACATCCATACTGAACTTCACATAACCTGCAGCACCTAGTGTCGAAGGTGCTACCGAGCGCGAAGAATAGGTGCACCGCGGCGTTAGGGTTTGCGAAGAGCAAAGCAGACGACATCTGCTAAAATAATTAGCATGAAGAAATGCTATGCCTGAGCAAATGCACCGAAGTATCACAAATTAGAGCGTGTAATCTTTATTTCCGTTGCAGTAAAAAGCAGTGCGTAAGTGAAACTTCAGAAATGATAGAGAACAATTTCAGAATTTGCCGCCACGCCCGCCAAATGCCCGTGGTAACCCGCCAACCCGCATAGGTGGTGGCGCCACCTATGCGATGCAACGCAGAGCAGACGGCCTCCGTCTGCGTCTCTCCGTGATCGGAGCCTCACCGTAGAGATTTCTCGTTTTTTTTTCTTTTATCTTTTGATCCAGGTAAGCTCATGTTCTGAAACTTCGGCATCTTGCGCGGACCGCTAGGGTTACATTCTGGCGGAGTTTGCGCGTTCTGCGATGCGCAGTTTTTTTATGCGGGCCGAAAAGTAGGGTTTACTTTTCTCGATCGGACCCTGTACAATCTCAGTCGTATTATCACATAAACGCATTATGTTTTATGTGGACCGTTACAAGCTGACAACTGTTCAAAATTTGTCATGCTTCTTCTAACTAGACAATGAGTTTTATCCAAATATACCTCATTTTTTAATCAAATTACTTTTTTTTCGTCTTTCTACAGATGACCTAGGAGTAAAAACCACCGGAAGCGTTTTTCTTGTGGAACTAAAAATTTTGGTTGACACAGAGTACATAAAGGCTTTCGAGACCAAGGATGAGTTAGCAGTCTACTTAGGAATGTGTATGGTATTGGTATGATATCTTCTTCAACCCTAATTCCAGATGAGCGTTATGTTCTTTTTTTTTTTTTTAAGATCGTGATACGCTCATATAGTTCCTATACAAGGTGATTTTAGGCCTCACCAATATCTCTAAAAAAGTTGTAAAATCTAGGTCTTTTGTATTTTGTGTGGTGAGTTATACGGCCAGGAGCACAAGGGATAGGGGACTAATTATCAGATTAAGTAAGATAATTAACTAGAAGTTGCTAATTGACATTTCACTTAGTGACAATAAACAAATTGTTTTCACTAGAAACCTGCTAAGTGTCAGTGAAAACCACTAAATCAGTAAAGTTTAGAAGTACTTTGTGCGCGTGCTACGTTTTTCTGGGTCCTAAAATGTCCCCACGGTTTTTTGTGTCTTTCTGCGCTTTCACACTTTTTTCGGCCATTGTGGCCAGCACAAGGGGACAACGTTTTGATATGCCAGATGATGCGGCGAGCAAGTTTCACTGAGCGTCCTTCTTACAAGGCTCTGTCCGCAACGACTTGTACCAGAGGTTACCCCGTCACTGTTTAAGGATAATTTCCAAAGACAAGAGCGACGAGCATGCAATGGGGGTACACCCCGAAGTGTAGTGAAGTAACCACTGTGAGGCCTGGCCCTGCACAAGCTCGCCAGTCGCGGCCAATGCATTGATGGACATCCAATTTCTCCCCCGTCCAACCTACAACACAGCATGACTGAAAAGTCTTCTTGCGACTGTCAAGGTCCGCCAGGTTAAAGCAATGGAGGTACCTCGTCTACGCGTCTCGCAACTTTTACATTCCTTAATGCAAGCAACATGCCCTTGGATGGTCGTAGCAGGGTACGCACAAAGCCCGCCCCATGCCAAGTCAAAACACCGCATAAATCAAAAGACTTCTTAATACTGGAGAGACTGGTCAGGTTCGGACAATGAAAGCACCCGGCACGCGCTACAAGCCCGATATTGAAGTGCCATATAATTCAACCGACTGACCTTGGGAATGGACGAGTTAGTAAACTATGCTTGCTTTGCATAAACATTTTCTGCAGCGTCAAAGTGTGTACCGCATTTACCGCTGGATTCCAACACCCGCTACATATCCATGCAAAGGCTGTGCAGTTTGTACAGCTTTGGGCTGACCCAACGCACAACAGTTACAGGCCGCCGACGGCCATGCCGTTGCCATATTCCTAGGCTCCCCCGACACCCACCTACGTGAAACTTAGGTCTTCCAAAACCCCCGCGCAGCTGCACAGGATAAAACTATGAGCGACTCGTCCCATTATCACAAGACCGCCGCCTACATCCTGAAGCTTTTCGCTACGCGAGAAATGCTCCTTTCCCATCTAGCCGTCTCTCCCCCTTAATGGTGAATTTTTCTCGCGGATCTCGAGCGCTCCAAAAGTACTCCATTTGACGCGCGCATATTCCGCTCGCCGATCTGGTTCGAGGTTGTAATTTTCCGCTCGTAGATCTCTGGCAGCGCACGCCGCGTGGGGTGTTTCCGATACCGCCAAACTTGATCCGCGAGACTTCAGGGAGCTTGGCGGAAGTTGACAGAAGCGCTCGTCAATGCCTTTAACTCTGCGCTGCGCATGCGCGGCTAGGTCGGCGAGGTCGCCGGACCGGCCGGGCCGTAGAAATCTATCCAGATGCGCCGATTGTTTACGTGGCATTGTGACGGCTCGAACGCTTCTACCTCGCGTAGATCAGGGCTAGAAGGCGTGGACTGGAGAGTGGCAAATCGTAAGCGCTGACATCTGCAATTGTGATAGGAACAACGAGAAAAGAGAACGACAGAAAATCCGAAGGTTAGGCCTGTATATTTTCTTACACTGCATGACGTCCTAGTTTTCCCGTGCAATAAAGCAAGAACAGATTAGGCAACGACCGTCCAAGTGATGGTTTGTTACATATTCCTGTTTACTAAAGTTGTATCAGAAATCTGAAGTCCACCAAAAGCGGTCGCTGTGCGTGCCTCGCCTTTCCGAGGCGGCCGAAAGGTATGTGACGATGGCGAACACGGAGCGGACGTTTTGCTCGTTATTTGTGATACGGGCTCTGTGGTACGGATATTTTCGCCCGGCCTGTTTCGCATGTTATTTCTGCAGCTAAACAGTGACATTTATGACTGGCCGTTGGAGAGCTCAAGACGCTGAGGAGTTGGTCAGCTTGTCAAGTTCAAGCAGCGGCCATTTTGGGCGGCCGACCGAATCGGGCGGGTCGCTCCAAAAATGCGAGTTCATTTTCCTCTCGTCGATTTGGAGCGGGTTCCACAGAGTAGAATTTCGCCTTCCTCGTAGATTTTGGAAATCGCACCGGATCACCAGTGTAATTCACCATAAATCTAACCCGTTATACCTCCGCGCGCCCTCGCGTCGCAACGCGGACACAAACACTGTGAAGAAACGGTAGCATTCCCGTCGTCAGCACAGGGCACGTGCTTTACCGCGTCTTTTCCGGGCATGGAGATAACGACTCGATAGTAACCTCCTTTCGAAGCACAGACTCCGATATGGCTGTGTGAGCAGCCGGCAAAACCCTGCCAGGGATTAAGCGGAATCAACCACACAAATCTACACCCAGGTACGAACGGAACATGATCATTGCGCCAGCCTGAACTCCACGGAATATTACACACAGCCACAAACAGGTTGGTGAGGAAAATCGGTGAATCTCAGAATTCCGATGCATTCGTGCCAGGCATCGCGTATCTGGCACGACTTAAGGGAGATTATAGTCCTAATCGGTCGCCTCTGGCCGCTAGGTACTGCAATAGAGCAGTCGGAACCAAAAGAGCGCAAATTGTACCCGAACGCTGCGGACGCACGGAGCTAAGAGCAATGTCGTTAGCTGAAGCAAGGCAACCTGGGAGCGAGCGTGCAGTAAAACTGGTACGCTAGGCTTCCCCCGGACAAAATACAGTTCGGGAATAATTTCCCAACGCAGTCCGTGCAACCGCCGTCCGCAATAGAAATATTAATACACTCCCCGAGCGAACCCTCTCTGACGAGAGCAATGGTTAACAGTCAATTCAAGACATTGCCACAGTACGCGAACAAAGGCGGTTGCGCGCGTCACACCGCCTAATAATTGAGCAGGCATCTCACCCACGAGACGTAGACGGCCGGAGCCGTAGTTGGGGCGACAGAACACCCGACACTGCAGGCCTCAAAGGGGGCGGGAATATCCACGCACACTGAACACTTGCGCCGCACCAACAAGCTGAAGGATAGACCTGCCAGCATCTGACGGCGCAGCTAAACAGTGAATAATCAAGGCGCTCCTTGCCGCAGGGGATAAATAAACTCCTGGTTAACTGAGACAAAGTATTGTCACCAAAGACAACGTCTAGGTCCGTGCTTCCTCGTCAAGCGAACGATCATGTCGGATCTCGTGTGGCGTTGCTACGAGGATCGCCCCCGAAGAAGTGCGAAAGCAATACCTCAATCCACCCGGAAACAAGTCAGGAATCGCAACTCTAGCATGAACGTAAATACGGCCCCATGTTGGGCTGCCAATTATGTAGGGTTCTAGTCTGATTCCTCGGACCCCTGTCTCCGGATGAACGTGACACAGCAACGCATAGCTCTCGGCAGAAAGGGTTTATTCCACTCACAGTCTGCTGGGGAGTTTCGAGATCGGTAAAGGTCATCGAGGAAGCTTGGGACCGTTGCGCCGCCACTATACTACATGTCGATCGTCCCGGCACAGCTGCTGCGCACCGTATTTTGGGGACGTCACCGTCGAGGGTTGAATCCGGAATCTAAGTCCGGACCATGTCACCGAACCGTTGTTCCAGTGGACATCTCGGTCGCCACCGCCGCGAACGTCCGCTGTTGCTCAGTTCCCGCTCATATGTCCTTCCTCCAAACTCCCGTCGCCCGTCGTCCCAGCTTCCTTCGCTGTTCCCACGGTCACCGCGCACGACACAGGCGGGATCGGCTTGTCTCCCATCCTGGGCGGTCTCCCGTTGTAGCCCCACGTCCGGCTCTCCCGTCGCACGTGCAGGTCCTCGGACTCCGACGCTGGCTGAGTTTACATGGATGCGATCGTAGCGAATCGAATCGAGATTAACCGCCTATGATTGGGTAGACGAGGAAGGGAAAGAAGGATCGCGGGCGCGTGACTGGTCACATCTCGATTCGATGCGCCATGGTCGCATCCATGGAAACGTAGCCGCTGTCAGGGAGGGGAATATGAGTATGTCCACCTCCGCCACCGCCAATATCTTCCAGATGAGTCCCGAGGGAGGAGGCACTCGAGCACTAAACGCGCAACTTCGCCACCGAGGCGACTGACAACGAGACCCCAGGCGCTGGCATCCTGTTGTAGAACATATAGGGGCTGACGAGACCCCACAAACTTTATCATTGGGAACCTTTAGCATATACCGTTACCGTGTTCGGTGTACCGCACTACCGTATCTTTTGATGCGTGCTTTGAATCGCACGCCCATGTCACCTTTTCACACGGGCGTGCGCTTAAAAGCTTGCTAAAAGGTTTGCTAAAAGTACGTATTGACAAGCCACATTTTGCCGGCAGCCAGGATCTCGTTCAGCGCGCTCATTAAATGATCACTGCATGAATCAGAAGCGTGAAATGGAAGTTAAAGGAAATCGAAGACCTGTGGAGCTTGATATGACGTTAGATATCAAAACCACGCAGATGTCCTCGTGAAGGACCCAGAACGCATGGCTTCTGCAATATAATGCGTACTATAACCTGCGTAAAAAAGAGGACTATGCCAGTTACGACGGAGCGTGACTCTTCACTCACAGTCCTCGGACTCGCGCGCAAAGCGCGCGCGTAAGTAGCCTGCTCCTGCTCAGCACCTGCTGCGAGCGGCAACCATCTTCGCGTGGCACGTGCCGAGCCAACGAAAGTGGTTGTTAAGAAACTTCTAGTGCACCACCAGTACCAAACGGCACAGCGTCGGAAGCTTGTGTTGGGGTGTTCGAGCGTGAAACACATCGGAGTAGGACGCATATCCTCTCAGTGTCCTACTCTCACGCCGCAGTTTTATCAGTTTCCAGAGGCCTTCAAGTTGCGGAGCATCTGTGGTTCGCCACGAAAGCCGTTGATGGCATTTTATTAGAAGTCGATAGTACTAACAATGTCTTGCGAAGTAAGATTCCTTCATAAAATAAGTTATTTTGACTATGACTTCTTTACTGATTTGAGGATCACCAGTTTTACAGGGCTGAGGAAAGTTCTGTATTTTTACTGTAATCTGACTTTCTTGCCCTGTTTATTCACCACAAAATGTGGGACGTGTGAATAACATAAGCTTTGTTTTCTAACAGGTAACCATCCGTTTTGTAGTGCTCATTCTAGGAAAAAACAACGTTTTTAGTGGCACAAAATTTTGTGTTGTTCTTCCCGGTAATACAAGCATATTTAAACTGTTTATTTGCCAAAAGCTTGTATTCTTGACGAATAAAATGAACCTTGTTTATGTTATTCGTATAGTAAGCTTATCGCTTTTCAACCAATAAGCTTGTCTCTATCTTAACCCAGCAGAACCGTTTCCTTATCGTATCGTAAACTTATCGGTTTTCAACCAATAAGCTTGTCTCTATCTTAACCCAGCAGAACCAGTACCTCCGGGATATTTCTTTTTATATTACAAACATTTGTTTACAGTGCACCCAGCTCGCATGTGACAGTATCACGTGCACTCCACGTGGGCAGATCACGTGGGCATGTGAAAGTATCACGAGAGCAGGATCGCCGGCGAAAAGATGCGCTCCGATGAGAAATCGAATTCTAGAAATGCGTCCAAATTGGGCTTTTTTTTTCTTTTTCGCAACGTTCTGAAACAAATTTTTTTTAATAAAATGAATTGATTTAATGGTTTTCGAAAGTGCCTAGCAAGTTTCTAATTTTAACAATCTGTCTGCTTTAACTAATTAAAAAGTTAATTAGTAAATGCTCAATCATAATTTAGCGTTTTTAGTATATTTTTTTGCAACCTTTGACGTCCTTTGAGGCTGGCAGTTTGTTCCCAGATTTCTTTTGCTTTTACCCACCCAATTTTTAGTCATTTCTTCAAATCCTTCGGCAAGTCGGCATTCATATTTTAATCTAGGGTACGTGGTAAATTATTGAAAGAAGAAAAATAAAGCATGAATATCACGTGCCATCGTCAATATTAATTAATATTATTAAACAAATAATAAATGTGTCTATGCTTATACAACCTGAAGTTAGTCTGCCTCAGCGGGCGACTTGTCTCCGGGCTGTAGATGAGAAATTTAGCTAGTGCACCACAACCGGTAGCTCATCCAAATCTAAACGGGCAGGGCTAGGGATAGATCCCAGGACCCCAGTGTTCTGCAGCACGAGCTTTCAATTCACGAGCACGCAAGGAATAATGGAAACATTCGTTCGCAGTGTTTCTTTCATTTTTTTTTTCATAATGGATTTTTTTTTTACTTTGAGAGTTTTAATTAGGCATACGCTCTATGCGTTTTCTATCGTTATGTTCTAATTCGTTGTGAAATAATTATAGCAGCTTTTGTGCTTTAACATTAAGAAATATAGGCATATATCACGAATTAATTGTAAAATTTCGTATTGGTTAATTTTCTTCTTGATTACTGCAGACGAAATACACAAGGTACAGTTTCATTTCTGGAGACGTTTAATTGTCTCTTTCGGCTTTTTGTATAACTCGCAGGTTAACTTTCGATATGAGGACACGTCAGAACCAACGGTCCAGTTTCTCCTCACCACTGTTGAAGTAGCGGTACGTGCCCACCTACTATATACTACCTTAATATAGCCAATGGCTTGTAAATTTTTATTTTTATTTTCTTTTCAGCTGGACGACATTCTTCATACGTTTTATGGACCTGATGTTGACTGCACTTCGTGTCCTAGCAAAATGTACCTAAACCCTGAACAAACACTTGAAATGATGGCATCAATGTATGGAAGCAATGAAGAGGATGTTGTCGTCCTTGTAACATCGTAAGAACAAGCTAAATATTACGCAATATCCTATCTTCTATCAACCGGAACTTGGAAAGGTCAAGAAATCATATTTTTCAAATAAAGGATTTGAATTTAAAATAAAATTATGAAATTGCACAGAACATTTACTCTACCTTACCAATTCTCGATGCGACGTTCATCTCTGCTATGGCCGTGCCGCTACAGCGCTTCACATCCGTTGTTCCGGTCTTAAAGAATGCACGTCCTGCCACTGTTATTTTGAAACAAGTTTGATAACACATGAAGAATGTAATAGTAAATGGCAAGTAACTCCTGTATTTTTGTTTTCATGGAGGTTCATTTGGCATTTTTCTAACGTTGCTTGAGCCATCTGGAGCCTTGGTGTTATTGGCTGTTGACACTGGCGCTAACCCGGAGAAAGTGAGAGCCAGTAAATCAGACGACATTAAGCATCCTGGCCAAGGTGCAGGATGTGGCAGCGCGCATACGTCAATATAATGAAAGAAAGCACAGTAATATTACATGTCTCCTGCAAAGCAAAGTTATAACTAAACACGTTGCAACATAAAATAACGACTGCCCGAATATAATGTGCTTCAGAATTTGATTAAAAATCGGATATTCGCTACACATGATGTAGTGTCACCAAAATGCACCGCGTGCAACAACGCAGGTGTTACTATGTGCTTGCGGTGGCTTACTAATTTTGACGACGCTACACGTAGATCGGTCCCCTTACTCGATCAGTCTCTGCTCCGCACCGGGGATACCTTTCACCGTACAAGAGCCCCGGCAGCGCTTCAGAATAAACATGGCAGTTCCCCACATGGGGTAACATAGGGACCCATACCCCAAGGGGCCCCGCCGAAGAGCGAAGGAGGCGACCTTGAACCAGTTGTCTGATCGTACGCAAAATTTGTCCGCAGCTAACTTCGCGATGGATTATTCAGTTTTATAAGGTGTATATATTTGTAGAAACAACATCAAATTTATATACAGTCGTATGACCCCTCAAGCTGACTCTTCAGAGGATTTCAGTGAAGAAGAAATAATTAATAATGAATGTATACTTCGAGGATCTTTCATATGAATGTGTTGTGAACTTGAGGTGTTTAACGTTCATCAAGCGTGCATATTTTCTGCCATTCTGCTAGTATTTTCGTTCTGTCAGGAAAGTGTCTAAGATGAACTATTTATTAAAAAAATAAGCAAAAAAGTGGGTTGAAACCTTGTTGGTTACTTTTCAGTTCAGGCGCTTGTATCGTGCTGATCATCCGCCATTCGAAGACAAATTACATTATCTCCTGAGATGGTGTGAATAAAAAATATTTAAAAAAGCAAACTAAAATAATAAAATAGTTATTTAATTATATATTTATTTAATTCCATCCTTTCTCTGTGACTTCGAGTCAAAATAAGCTTCTTGTCAATATAAACGTACATCTTATTTACACTGCGTGACACTGTTAGCGCGAACAAGCGACGTCGGCTTGCTCAGCTTTTCTTCTGACACAAACAGTGTGTCATCAGAGTTAATACTGTAGAGCAAAGTGCTAATTTGTGGAACTGATATAAGTGGTAAAATGTACGGCCCGTCAATACCCTTAAAAGGTAGGCCGCAAAAAAAGCTTTAATTTAGTGTTCGTCCTGCTAACAGTCTCACGCCTTGGTCAAGAAAATAGTCGTGCAAGTTAAACATGTGTTCTTACTTTCAGGATGGATATGGCGGACAAAGATTTCGGTGTTATTTCAAATATTGTAATGGGTGAGCACAGTTTTTTCTTGTTTGACATGACTCGGAGTCGTTTTTTTTTTATTATTTGACATGACTCATTTCATTTTTAATACTTTGTCTCAGCAGGAAGTTAACAAGTTCATACTCCTGGTCCGCTGGACACTTCCAGTCAACAGCAGCTTTAATTATGGGCAACTTTTATACGTTCTGGGGTTAACGTGTTGTTGCTGTATATGGAAAGATTAACAAACATAGCCTCATATAATCTTTTAATATAAACCGGAGGTCTACTAAAAAACGCGATGTTGGCGATTTTACATTGTTGTTAACTTTGCCGACAAAATATGTATATATGTTCAAGACATATTCTTTCCTTTCGGCCGCAACCATTCGAACCTCCTAGTTTGGTGCCCGGAACGCGGGTATTTATACTCCGTTTCACGCCAAGCCCATCGCGCTGGATGCTACGAGCTGGTGGGACCGATCAAACACTGTCAAAAGCGCACCAACATTGAGCTAGTGATGTTTATGAACATGTTTTATAATGGCCAAATCAATCTTTAACATTGATCAATCAAACGAAATCTAAAACGCATGTTTTTTTTTACAATGTTTGAATGGTGGCATTAGCTCATAGCGTCAGTTGTGTCCGGAGGTAAAGTGAAACGATGTATACGTGAACCACGGGTAACCTTCTCTTCCTTCTGCGAAGACATGCACCCGTTACTTCAGAAAAGCAATTAATTACAGTTACATTTACTCGACGTAAAACTTAATGAATTACCGCCCCAAATTACTTCCCGTAATAAGTAATTGATTAATTACTTCGTTACTTTACTGGACTACCTCTGCCGTTCTCCAAGGAAACACGAAACGACACTATATATTGCATGTTTGAGGGGGGAAATTTTGGGCCCCATGAAAATTTAAACAAAAGTACAGCAGATTCAGTACCATCTACGCATCATTCTGGGTTTATAATTTTAGGAGAATGAATCTAAAACGTCTTAAAGGACTTAAACAGGTGCTCAAGATAAACGAGCCTTGCGCTGTATACAGCCGTGACAGAACTAAATCTCATGAACATGCGCCGAATGCACTTGGGCGGTGGAAGCACGCACACCGTTCTTATTAATTCGAGTTTGGCATCGGTGAGCTTCAAAACACGATTCCCCTGAAGGTATGGGTTTTCTGTGCTTGCTACATGTTGCCTAAATAGGGGCTGATTTACATACTAAAACGGACTGGCTGTGAGACCAAGATGCGGTACCTGCCTTTCTGTACACTTCAAGGGCTCCTGCTTGATGACGGTTGTTATCCGACCGAATGACCCACTTGATCTTCTTTGTTGATCACCAAACCTATCAGAAGTAACAAATCAAACGAAATAATAATGCACGATCTGTCAGCCGATCTGATTTCGCAGTTTAGAAATTATTAAAATAAAGCACAGCTTTCAGTGAACAGGACGCCTCCACGTCTTTCACGCGTGTACAGGCGGCTTCTCAACTCCAGTCTCCAAGTGAGTCACTGTTTATTCTCAGAAACCTCGGGCTGCATTTCCTTTCCCTAAAATATGTCTAAGTTCCCGCAGGCTCAGTTGGCTGAATCTGCTGACGAGGACCCTAGCATTCTCGTGTCTGAGAATACGGGTTCAGCTTGGATGTCCCATGACATGTTGTTGTGCTCCGTGGCCAGCTTATTGCCTGCTGTCCAAAACCGGGGCTTAAACTGACAGCAGGGTTGATGCTAGTTTTTTTTTATGTTCCATTAAACTGCTGCATCCCACCCCTCATGTTTTTGCCCTACGCATCCGCTAGTGCAAAGTCAAGTGACAGAACCCAGATAGCTGGTTGGTCCAGCCAGTATTGAGCATTCGCAGTGCTCTCATAGATGAACACGGTCGAGGTCTTTATTAGAACTCCCTCTCTGTCTACGGGGTGAGCGTGTATAGGCAGAAACATCGACAAGCAAAGAATGGTTTCGTGCGAAAAAAAAAAGATTTTGCTGGTCAAGTCGCAGAGGGGTGGGGAGGAAAGAAGGAAAGTGTAGGAGGGCAGGGGAAGAAAGGGAGCCGACATATGCATCACGGTCGCTGTGTCCACGGTCCCACTCGACACGAACCACACGCGACGGTTTTATTGTCCCTTCGTTTTCTGTTCTTTTGTACGCTCGAAGACGTCCGTTCGTTTTCCAAGAAGTTGAAGCCCGTTGCCTTATGTAGACACAGTCGAATCCTCTCAGCCTGGCTGACCGTACGAACGAGTCGAGAAGCGGGCTCTGGCTGGGCTGTCGTGCCCCCCCCCCCCCCCTTTTTCCGTGAATTCCTTTCCCTCACCAGCACTCTCTTCATGACCAAACCCTCGTCTTGTGTTACCATGCTAAAGGCGCGAAGGCCGTTGCATCCCTCTTCTTTCCACTCTATTTCTCCCTCTTTTGGGACGGGAGAATTATAACGAGTAATTTAAGAAATTGGTTACTGAAAAAATAATGATTACCTTCCAAATTACATTTCCAAAAACATAACAGGTTAATTACTAAATTACAAGAAAAGTAATTAATTACGAGTAATCCCGTTACTTGTCACGGTTTACTTCCAAGTCTTCTTTCGCGTAAGTCCTAACGGCTGACAAATTTATTTGAGCTTTGAGGACGCCGTGCTCATCTCCCGGCATATTAGTGAAATAAGGCAATATTACAACAAAAAAAAAAAGTATTTTTCTTTACAAAGTAAGAACCGCGTTTGCTTCCTATCTTCTTTTAGAAAGGAAACAACGTTCTTCACTCAGAACAGGGAAACGTAATTTCTCCCTCGCTTTCACATTATTATTGCGACTACGAATCGAGTGAATCGAGCTGGATAAGGCTTAACAGTGACGCTACGCGTATTGTCGACCTTGAGGCGAAACGCTCCAGCGATTCAACCAAAAGCAGTTAGCAGTGTTATCAACGGGCAAGTAACCCACGTCACTGGCAGCCTCCCGGTGTCTGTGATAAACAGTCCTCCCTAGAAACGAGATCTGCCGATTAACCCTCATTAAAACAAGTCTGCACTTAGGGACAAGCTAATAAAAAAAATGCACGCCATCTTTGTGCATAATAGTTATTGCTAGAACCGAATTACCGCGCAGACAAGAGCGTGAACTGTCATTATTAGCACAGTTTTTTTTTCTAGTTAAATAGGTCGTTCTTGATATCTTTTTTTGCACTAAACCATTCGGGGTGCTTCGAGAAAAAATTATTTGATGCATTCCCGACCGTACGAAACATAGGTGCAAGGTGTTCAAGCATACGTCTGAAACATTGGTCGCCACGAGTATACACTCTCAAGCTTCATGTGGAACATGAAAGATATATCCTTGACTGTACCACGTAAAACGTTATTTAACGTTTTCTTTTTTTTTTGACTGATCTGGCGGACAGTACACCGATCTGTGCCTGCCCGATCAAAATTACTTGCACTTTTTATTGGCCATCCTTTTTTCTAAGTGTAGAAAAAGGCGAAAATCCAAGGAAAACTCCTCGGGAAAAATGACAAATAGCTCGCCTGCACAACTAATACATGGTTCAAGACAACGTTACCCAATTTTATTTTTTTAGGCCTGGCGAAAATTAATGGTCTCTGCAGCGTGGGAGAACGCGTTGCAATTGTGGAAGATCAACCACACACATACTCTTTCACTCGACTTATCGCACATGAACTGGCACATACGTAAGTATAAATTTATCTACTGACTACTAATAATAGAATTCAGGATTAAGAGTAACATTTGCCATTTGACATAAATTAACATAATGACTCGCGCAAACTATACCTGGCACAACCTTTCGCAGCAATGTACCTAAAGTTACGGAGCAGAAGCGTCACATGAACATGAGACATAAGGTAGTTCACGAAAATATTGGGTTGGCTTTTATTTAGCAACTCAGAAGTATTTTGAAATGATATAATTCAAGTTCTGCTCTGCAATTACGCTACATCTTTAAGTGGCGGGTGTCAACAGAACGACTTACATTGTTTCAGCTTTGCGTTAACGACATACAGTACAGAAATATGGGTGTTCTTTCTTGTTTATATGCTTGCTGTTGTTTCAACTTTATATTTTGGGGTAGAAGCAATTTATAACTTGAATTTCAATAAACAAACTTGAAACCGGATTGCCTAGGGGTTGTTTTAAACGTCATTTGTGTCGCATTTAGGGAGATATATTCTGCATGCTGCCAGGTTGCTGCCCCGCCTATATTCGCAATGCAAAAGACGTTAAAAGACAACATTCTTCATAACGAACTTTCTAGTTGACTAAGTACCTTGAGAGTCTTAGTGTAGACAGGCGATTCGTTTGCAGAAAAAAACAAAAATCGAGGCAATTTAGGGGGTGAACTAAGGGCAAAATAGCAGGAGCGTAGGAGCAGCGTCCCTTAGCGTATTGGCTGCACTGCCGCTTAAGGTTTTCCCCAGTAATGGCCTAAATGAAGAAAACAGACGATTGCGGATATATGTGGCGCCCCCATGTGTGCTCGCGTGTTACGACAATCCCGTGTGCATCAAGTGGAAGTGTGCGCATAAATACGAGTTAATGTTGGTTTAATATTTTTGTGATTTCAGGACGTATGGAAGGCGTGTGATAACGTAACAACGTACATGTCCCCTTTGTTTTCTTTTTCATTTCAATTCCCCTTATGTTTTGAACTGTCAGTAATAAGAAAGAATGAATTGTGCGGCATCCAGAATATAAAAAGCGCCCGAGTTGGCTTTAGCGACCATGAGAACAGCCCCACGATTCCCCACACCGCGCGGTGCGTTCTGAAATAACAGATGTCTCAATGAATTTTTTGAAAACATCTATGTGGCATGTTGGTTCCGTATTCAACAAGCAATAACCGAGATTACCATTTGAAAAAAAAAAAATCTTACGCGACAGCAGCTTTACAGCACCAAACACTGGTCGGCTACTGCTACAAAAAATGGTACGTTCAAAATAGCAATAATGGAGTGCGTCCTTTTTTTAGCTATCGTAACGCGTTTGTTTTGAATTTCAGTACCTAGCTGCTAGCTGGTTTTGGAGCGAGTAAGTGACGATATTTAGTTAGGCATAGTTATAAACCCGAGACTGGGGATATGGACAAGGGACAAACACAGAACGACACGGACGAATCCCCAGTCCCCAGTCTCTCTCCCCAATCTCAGGTTTACAACTATGCTCAATTTACACCAGCTAGCCTGCACCCTCACCACTGCTTCATATTTAGTTACTTTTTTGAGTAACGTGTACATATCTGCTGAGCTCTAAATATAACTGAAGCACTGTTTAAAAGTAGCTATGTACAAGCAGACGACACAACGATCGAAAAACAGAGCGCACGCGCTCCCAAACGACCCGGGGACACGCGATGGCGCATGCGCGGCGCTGCTCGCGCATCCGCGGTGGATCCCGGCGTTCAAAATATGAGACCATTGCGATGCTCTTCTCAGCAAACGAAGCCTAGGCAGTTAGTCTAGGCTCCACCGGAGTGTCCAATTTTGGCGGTGATCGGATTTAAAGGAATGTGGAGTTCCACGTCTTTGATGCGCCATCAAATAACAACGAATTACTGTCTCGTACATTAGCTGAAGATTACAAATATTTGCAGGCTTGGAGCTACTCACGACGGGGATGAGACGGAGCTGGGTCCAGATGGAAATCCGGTCAACAACTGCAGCCGAAACGATGGATACCTCATGGCGCCTTATACTCTCGGAAGTAACAGAGGCCACTTCTCGAACTGCTCTATTCGACAGATTCGGGAATTTGTCAAGTAAGCGACATGCGGGACTCTTCATTTCACACCTTCGCAAGGCACCTCAGCAGCGCGAGGTTTATAGACACGTTAGCACCGACTAAATTGTGTATACAGCCTGCTCATTTCTGCAAGCCATTAATATTCTACTTTCGGAGAAATAATTTGCTTCAACGCTGTAGTTTACGTAGCTCTTTAAAAAAACTCCTGCATTGTTTTTCGTCTAAAATGATATCATGGGTGCAGTTAGGAAGGATAACAAAGCAATGTCTGTGAGGTTCATTTGGAATGGTGAGTTCGACGGAAGCGATACCAAGGGGATTAAGTAAAGTCGCATTCGCACTGCGAAGAGTGCCACCGTTCCAAGGAGTACAAACAAGTCTAAACATTTTGCGTACATCTTCACGAATGATTGAAATAATTAATGATCCAGTGTCAACAAGTGCCTTGAATCTTACCTTCTTAATGAAAACGTTTAATAAGTTGAATGTTGGCGTAGTCGGTGGGGGATGTCGAGGGAAAACAGAAGCAGCTGGACCCCATCTCGCTACCTCTACTAGTTTTCCCCATCGACGAACGACTTGGGGAAGGTCTGGTCAGCGCGTAGAGTAGAGCGGCGTCGGTATCCGGAAGAAGGGCTTCGGTCTCGAGCATTGCGACTGGAGGGTGATACCGATCGTCGTTGGTACCTGTGTGGGAGGTTGTCATCGTATTCGTTGTAAGAGGGCGGTTGGTTCGTGCCATAGAAGGTGGAGGGGTGAAAATCGGGAGTCCTTCTTGATATATCCGATATGCGGAGGCGACAGAAACGGGCAATATGGTCAGCTATTCCGCAATAAAAGCAGGTTGGTCGACGGATAACCGGGTATTTTTATTTTATTTTTTATTTATTTATGACATACTGCGGACCTAAATGGTCCAAGCAGGAGTGAATACAGATCGTAAAATACACGACAAAAAACAGTCTTCAACAAAAGATATCAAAAAAGGCCACTAGGTTAAAATATACAGTAAATAACAAATGCAAAAATACAGGACAAGAAGCTTCCAAGACCAAGATACACATTACCAGTAAAAAACCTATACGGTCATGAGGTAGGAAGAAGCAAGTGACTCAATGGGCAGGGAATTCCAGTCATTGATTGTTCTTGGAAAAAAGGAAAATTTGAAAAGATTGGTGCGAGCAAAGTACGGAGTCAGTGAATGTGGTTGGTGATGTCTGGTCTGTCTCGTAGCAATGGGTTTTAGATATGCATGGCGATTAATAGATAGCTTATCATTTGCAAGAAGAAACAGAAACTTTACCCTTGCTATTTGCCTTCGTTCCTGCAACAATTCAATTGTGTTTATCTGCATTAGAGAGGAGGGAGAATCTGATCGCTTGAACTTATCGTAAATGAATCTGACTGCCCGTCTTTGAACCCTTTCCAATTTAGTTATGTCTTTTTTGGTAAAGGGATCCCATACAACGCTGGCGTATTCCAGTTTAGGTCTCACAAGCGTGTTGAACGCTAACAATTTTACGTTAGGGGGTGTATTTTTCAACTTGTGTCTAATGAGGCCTAGCTTTCTAAAAGCAGCAGATGTAATGTTGTCGATGTGTCTTGACCAGCCCAAATGACTATCAATTGTCAGCCCTAGATACTTGTAATGGTCTACCTCAGAGACGTTAAAATCTTTTATTTTGTACTGAAAGGAGAGGTACTTCTTTTTGTTTGTGATTCTAAGAAAGACAGTTTTCTCGAGATTCAATTTCATTTTCCATTGGTAGCACCAGTCTTGTATAGAGTTTAAGCTTGAGTTAAGTGCGAGTTGGTCATTAGTACACAAAACATCTTTGAACAATACACAATCGTCCGCAAATAAACGAATGTTCACTCCTGGGTCCACAACAGAAACAATATCATTGACGTATATCAAGAACAATAGTGGCCCAAGGACACTTCCCTGGGGTACACCGGAAATCACATCAAGCATCTCTGAGCAACCAGAACCAACCTCGACATACTGTCTACGACCATGTAGATAGGATCCGATCCATTTAACGATGGCTGAGTCAAGACCAATACTTTCCAATTTAAAAAGCAGTTTACCATGTGGCACTCTGTCAAATGCCTTGCTGAAGTCTATGAATACGGCATCTATCTGACCAGATTTATTCAAAGTGGAGGCAAATTCGTGCACCGTGGTGACTAGCTGTGTCACTGTTGAATAGCCCTTTCGAAATCCATGTTGAAACTCGGTTATTAAGTTATTTTTATCAATGAAGTCAGTTACCATATTTGAAATTATATGTTCTAGTAACTTACACGATGTACACGTAAGCGAGATTGGCCTGTAGTTGCTCAGAGATAAGTGGTCTCCTTTTTTAAACACCGGCACAACACGTGCTAAGAGTCAATCATTCGGCAGAACTCCCGATAAAAATGACGTGCGGAATATCACTGTTAACAAGTGTGCTAAGGGTTCCGCGAAACGACGCAGAAAGGCATTGGGTATCTTATCAGGCCCAGGTGACTTTTTCGTTTTCAAGTTCAATAACATGGAAAATACGCCTGCAAGCGATATGCAATCAGCATTCAGGTAGGACCGCTCATGATTTTCACACTAGTACGTTTCAGCGTCAGAAAAAACTGACTGGAAGTATCCATTAAAATGACGAGCAATCACTATGGTGTCATCAATCACTGTACTGTCAACACATATTTGGTCGATGGGTTTTCTTTTGTTGCTTAGGTAGCTCCAAAACTTCTGAGGGTCGTTTTTAATAAAATTAGGCAGAGTATTAGAAAAATAATAATCACGAGACTGCTGAACGTGCCGTCCTAGCTCGTCCTGCATGTCCTGAAAGCGACCGTTGTTTCTACGTTTAGTTTTTTTAAGGCGTTTAATCCTTCGCTTTAAGTGAATTATTTTCCAATTCACCCAGGGGTGAGCCCTATTAACACGCTTTTTCTAACTGGGGACAAAGTTATCCAAACAGTAGTTGCAAATAACCTTAAATTTGTTCCATAAAACTTGCACGTCTGAGTCGTTAAAACTATCAAGTGCCAAATCCAGATAGTCCAGAATACACTCATCATTGGACTTTGAGAAGTCTTTAATTTTCTTAACTACACTTTTCCGTTCAGGTGACTCTTTCGCTAAAGTACAACAGAAATAAACAAGTTTATGATCCGAGATCCCCCTCTCGACACTGACCGTATAATCAGATAAGCATCTACTAACAAAAACGAGATCAAGGATAGAGCAGCTCGAGCCCTGCTCTCGCGTGTTTTCGGTTACAACCTGCCGTAGATCATAGGCAAACATAGTGTCAAGAACAATCTCACTGTCCTGACATGAGTTAGCGGACAAATTGGCCCAATCAAAACCCGGAAGGCTGAAGTCCCCAACAACTGCAAGTTTATTGTTCCTGTATGAGGATATGTGGTTGTACAGTTGGTTTAGGAAGTCTGGTTGAGAATTGGGAGGTCTATAAACAGCGTACAAGATAATTGTGTTACCCCAGCAATTCAGCTTTAAACATAAGCTTTCATGCTCTTCAATCTGGGCGGTCTCTGCGGAATATGCTGTAGGATGGTGGAATGATACTATCATTATTAATGTCCTCGTGCAACCATGTTTCCGTTATTACCGTAATATGGGGATCATAATTCAATAAGAGAAGTTCCAGTTGGTTAACCTTGTTCACAATGCTCCGTGCATTTATGTTTAAAATGCGGAGTTGCTTTGATTCTGGAGTACATGGGCGTCATTCATTCGAACGTGGTTGTAATTTTGGCAGCTGAACACGGGAGTTTGCGACGTCATCCGAGATATACCAGTCATCATTTATACGTAGCTTGTCATGTACCAAAACACTTTTTTCCCTTGGTCCTTATCGGTCTTAGCGCTCAACCAAAGTGCCCGACGTTTTGCTAACGTGCTTGGTGAATAGTCGTTGCAAATGGATATCCGTGTATTTTTTAATTTTTTGGCATTGCGAAGTATTGCTTGTTTTTCGTTATAGTCCTGAAAGAACAAGATGACAGGCCTTTTGTTACTAGGTTTACCGAGCCTGTGAATCCTTGAAATGGAAGTGCAAGTTACACCTAGTATGCCATTCAGGACCTCTGTGATCACTTTACTCTTAAGCTGTGCTTCCGTTTCATCTTCTGTTTCTGCTATCCCGTAAACGACTAGATTTGATCGACGGCTCCGATCCTCGAGATCTGTAATTTTCTGAGTTTGAAAAAGAACAGTCCTTTCAAGATTTACGAGGCTACTTTCCAGCGCCTGAACTCGTTCCGTTTTCTGCCTGAGCTCGTGAAGAATTTTGTCAAATTCAACAAACCTGGCGTTAATTCCGCTTATCATGACTTCAGTTTTACTTTGTTGTGTTTTAACTCTGTAATTTCTTTGTGGATTGCACTCTGTCCGTTCATTATTTGTTGAAACATCTCCTCAGTCGTGGGGCCAGGATTGGTCTCGACATCACCGCAAACAAGTAATGTGCATGCATAGAAACAATCATACGCAATGTCAATACAAGTTTGTGGGCATGGCACAACAATGAGCATGAGAGTATTGCTCGCAAAAAGAGAGGTTTTGTGACCAACCTGTATAAAAGAGAGCGTTGTCTTAGTTGACATCGTGCTCTTGTCGCTTTCGCCGAGCCCACTGAAGATGAATTCCTGGGTTAGTCCTTTTGTAGGCGTTGAAGCACTTGACGTCACGAACCCAGAGGGCAGCACTTCTGCGACTGGCGATTGTAGGGACACTTGGTCATCGTTGGCGGCTTGCTTGTCGCTTCCACACGTGCTGTAGTCGATCGGTGCTCCAAGATAAGAACAGAGCAGGGCCTGTATAAAAAAGAGCTTTGTCTTAGTTGACATCGTGCTCTTGTCGCTTTCGCCGAGCCCACTGGCGAAAGTGGTAGTAGGGCTGTGACCATGGGCGTTGAGTCCCGAGTTCTGGAAGTATCTTGACTGTTGTGGAATCTGTTCTGGCTCGAAGGTGTAACATGGTGCCGAGGT